TTTCAAGAAAAGACATAAAATCAGAGAACTACTCTGATAAGTTCATTTGAACCCTGGGAGCATTCACAGCCCTCCTGAAACATAACATTACCTGAGGCAGACCCCTCTTCTTTGCTCTTGAGGAGACTTTGTTGGGATCAGCCTGCAGCATTCTTCCATATTCCTCACAGTGCTCCTTGTCCTCTGCCCAGGCATAGCCCTCCCGGAGAGACCAGTCCACACCCATCTCTAGTGCCTCTTCCAAATCCCTGCAATTATTAAACACCTACATAAGATGGTTATCCGTGGATATACTCAAAACTCCACTGGATGCAGCCCTGAGCAACTTGACATAACTTTGTTGTTAGACCCACCTTCAGAGTTAGCCCTCCTTCATGCAAGGCGTCAGACAAGACAACCTCAAGAGATCCCATCCAACCTAAATTATTCTGTGATGTTATGATCAGCCCCTAGCTCTCCTAACAACCAGTCCAACTTCTTAGTACTTCATGAAAATCAAGTTCTATAAATATATTAACTTTTGATAGGTCATTACTTTTTCCTCTTTGTTGTGTGGGGAATATCCTATTTTCTCTCTCATCCCTTTCAAAAAAACCCCCTTTATGCTCATGGAAGTTTTCTGTCAGAAGAAATGAGAACCTTTCAAGAACTTCTAGTTATTTCAGGGGTTTAAATGGGGGAAGAAAGAGCTGACTTTGTGCATTGATGATAATGTTGGTCCTGGTAAAGCCATACGTAGAAAGAATGGAAAGATTTTTAGAATTACTCTTTCTTTTTTAAAAGTCTCCCACTGATGAATCTTTCATCAAAACAAAGAGACAAAAATGTCCCCTCTGGTGATGTGTGCACAAAGTCATTCTCTTACTTGGCATTCATGGGGATGACACCTTTGGAGCCGACACCAACAGGAATGTGGTCAAACATAGCCTGGGCAAGCTGCTCTTTCACAGGCTGCACATCACTTTCATCCAAATTTGTACGCAGCAAGCGGACACCACAGTTGATGTCAAATCCTACACCACCTAGAAGTGCAGAAAAAGCCATGACAGGGAGCATGTACTGAATACTGTGATCTCACACCTTCTTTCTGAAACAATACTGGGAAAATAAAGGCAGAACTGCATTAGGCTTCATTTTAACAGATTGACATAAAGCCTCAGATTTCAAGACATAGCTGTACAAGTATCTATACAGCTCTCTCTTTATGAAGTTACTCCAACAAGTAGACAAAAAGTAGACACAAATATAAAATATACTGCTCAGACAAAGTAGAAAGGGATATCACGAGTCCAAGCCTCAAATGCAAGGGCAATTCTCCCTGTACTGTTTAGATGTTCTCAGTGCAACCACCCACTCCATAAAGAATAAAGATTCTGAGTGCAAGAATTAAGCACCTCTTAAGCCCCTATAATTCTCATATTTTAGCTTCAGTTCTGTACATGAAGTACTGCAAAGTCCTGCCATTTTGAAAAAGTATTTTTATGCCATCCCCAACATTTCTCAGAGCAGGTTAAGTCAGTCATCCTCACCTGGGGAAACCACTGCTTCTGGATCACTCATATCAAAGGCAGCCATGTTGCCAATGGCAAACCCATAGCCAGAATGGACATCTGGAAGGCCTATTGATCTCTGAAAGGGAATAAAAGCAATTTTAAAGTTTTATGAAACTCAGTGCTGCAGAGTTACCTTGGTTATGCTTTGCCTTGTGGCAGGAGTTATCACATTTGAAAACAAATATACCAAAAAAGAGAATGGATCTTCAGATGTAGACAGAGTGAACACAACAACTCAGGTGAGTATCTGAACTCCTGCACTTACAGGGCAAACACTCAAAGAAAGCAGAGAGCAGATCTCACTCTGAAGCAAACACCCTGTGGCTAGTCAGCTGAGAAGCCCTCTTGACTCTATTGGCCAGATCTCAAAAAAATTTGGGAAGAGCTTAAGCACCTAAATGTAGGAACTGTGATCTCAAACTGAATTCTAATTTGGCCTTTTCCTGTACTCAAGAGTCCTTGCATTCAAAACTCAGGCAGGCAATAGCTTTTGAGCAGCATAAAGCAGAGACGTAAGAGTGAAGATAAGTTATTTTTACCAAATTTCATCTAGAGACATCTGCAATATTTAAATACTGTAAACATAACAAGGGAAGAGTTCAGTGCTATGAAATAAATAAAAATCAGCATTTTCTCTCCTTATCTGTGTCATCAACCCTGACCAAAGACTGCACCCTGTAGGGAGGAAAAAATCACCTTTTGAGTGAGATCCTGATGGGATTTGACAAGACAGGAGCTGTGGCATTTTAAATTTAGATTAGGACATCACAAACAGCACTCTGCAGTCTATTTAAGCAAACAAAAAAGCCTCAGACACCCAGAAAGCTGTTAGAAATTGTAACTTTTCGATGTGTGTTAAACTGGTACCATACGTTAAAAAGAACAGTACTTTTCAATGGGATTTTGTGCTTCTTCTGCCTCCCCTTGTCATCACGAATAAATCTCTTGGCTTGGAAATAAAAAGTGAAGATTTGAATACACAGATGATTGTAGCATCTCTCCTACAAACTACCAGACGGAGTTCCTATTTAACAGGTTATTACTATTCTACCTTACTCCTTTTTGGCTGACCACTAAGGCATTTTAACAGCATGATGGTCTGCCCTTTACTGAAGCCATGAATTCAAAACGTCTGCCAAGTGACCAAGGAAGACTGTTAAAACAATTAAAACAATTCTGTTATTTGTTACTTATTAATATTTGCAATACTGAATGTGAAAGAGATCATTTCCACATCATACTTAACACTTCTTGAAAAGAGTCACAGCCTAGTTTTTTCCTCCTGCATTATCAGATCTGACACTTTGCTTCCAAAAAGGCATAGGGCAAGGGAAAGGAGTGTTGAGTGCATGGGAGGACTCACTACCAACATTAGGTCAGCAGCAATAATACAGACAACAGTATCACCTCCTGCTCTCTCCTCACTCCTCCATGCATTCCAGGTCAGCAGAGGCAATTGAAAACCAACAAGCAGTCAATATGGACACTGACAGAAATGTGGCTCAAGCAAAAGGAAATAGCATAAACCAATGCTAAAAAAGCTTCATGTCAAAAGACAAGTAATGAAGTAAGTGGATGCTTCCCTTTCTGATAACTTAGTCTTGCAGACTGCCCTTGCAAGCAGTTTACTCAGAGACAGGTTCTTAACACACAAACTGCCTTGAAAAGAACTTTCGTCCATATATCTTCTGAAAACAGTTCCCATTTGGAAAGCAATAATTTCAGGCAAACTGGAAGAGAAAAAGAGCAAATTTTCAGAGCAGTTACTCACGTGAACAATACCAGGTAATGCAGCCACATTCCCAATCTGTTTCATAGCAGGCAAGAAGCCACCTGCACCTGAAAAAGAGGAAAAAAAAAAAAAGTTAAACAATTTGATAACTTACCATAATAATCACAGTGAAGTGCTTTCTAAACAGGTTGTTCAAAACACTGGCAATTTAGAAGTCAGCCACCAAGGTTTCTTATCTAGTGTAGAGCGCCCAGTGACACGCACAACCTGCAGTTTCATTAAACGAGGTACTTATTACACCAAAGCCCAACCCGTGCTGTGTGTGTACCGATGGAGTGCAGTCTGCACTAACAACAGCAGTGTCACCACCAGCCCAGCTGGCAGATCTGGACCCATCCCTGCACTTCAGCCCCACACAGCACAGCCCCGGGCTGCAGTGCCATGGTCTAGCGGACATGGTGGCGTTCGGTCATAGGCTGGCCTGGATGATCCCGGAGGTGTTTTCCAACCTAATTGATTCTGTCGACTCTCTGACACCCTCCCGGATCAGGGGGCCCTGCCGGACCCACCTCCTCCGCGGCAGGCGTTGCGCAGCTCCTCGAACATCAGCTTCTCCAGCGGGTCGTTCACGTAGAAAACACCCTCCACCTGCGGGGAGAGCCGTCAGCCGCCGGGCTGCCGCTGCCCCTGCCCCGCTCCCCTTCCCCGACCCCTGCCCCGGGCACCCAGCCCCCTCCCACGCACACGCATGTTGGGCACGAAGCCCTTCTTGATCCGCCAGCAGTTCTTGTCGATCTTGTCCAGGTACTGCAGCTCATCGTTGTAGCTGCGGCTCATGGCGGCGGCTCCCGATGGCGGCACCGGCGCGGCGGCAGGAACTGACGCGGCCCCTCCGCCTCAGCCGCGACGAACAGGAGCCGCCGAGGCTCAAACCTCCTCCCTCAGCCCTGCCTCCCTCCCTCCCTCCCTCAGCCCTCCTCTTCTCTTCCTTCCTCCCTCCCTCAGCCCTCCTCTTCTCTTCCTTCCTCCCTCCCTCAGCCCTGCTAAGGGCTGGCCCGGCCCCCAGTTAAGCTCCGTGGCCGCGCCCTTTCGCAGGGAGCTGGAGCAGCCCGGGCAAAACACCCAGTTTCCGCGGGCCAGGGTGTGAGAGGGAGCGCAGGGGTCGGTTTTGTACCTGACCGCCTCCTCCCTCACACTAAATACGGCTTTTGGGCTGGTTTGCGGGGGAAAAAAACCAAACAAACAAAAAACCCAAGTGTTTTTTCACGTAGCTGTTCCCCCGAGGCAGAGCAGTTTTGGCCCGTGGGGTATTTAGGTACCGCTCTGCTGCAGGTGGGATGAGTTTGCTCAGCACCAGTCAGGCAAAAGCTGCCCGCACCCCATCGTTGATTGCGTTTGTCAGCAAGAGGGAAAGAGTTGTTTGCTGTATAGTCTTGGCTTGAAAAGGACTCTCTTCCTCCGGGGTGGGGAGGGCTGGGATCTGAGTACCCTGCCAGGTGGATGGGGCTTTGTGCCGGGGTGGTTTGAAGCTCACAAAAGCAGCAGATCGGTGCAGGATGGGGCACCTCTGCCTTTGTTTCATCCTTGTCAGTGCTGGTTTGGGAGGCCAGAGACAGCTTCCCATCCGGATTTGGCCAAAGCACAGGTACCTAAGCATTGCAGGGCAGGCATGTCCCTCTGTTCCGATTTGCACACTAATAAAGTATTGGAAAAAAAGGACGAAGAAGAAAGAGAGTAAGATAACACACCAAAATGAAGTAAGAAAAAAAGTATTTGTAACTATTTCAATTCAGAGAAATACTGACCAAGATGTTGGAGAATTAGACTTACAGGACCTACCCAGAAACACTGGAGGAGTTAAATGTATCTAACCTGGCCATGCAGCGCTAAAGTGGGCACATGACAGGCACAAGGATTTGAAGAGTCACAGAGAGAGCAGGACTATCAAAGGCAGTAGTAGTCTTTCTTCCTGAACTACTTCTGCATCTTAAGATTGCAGTTAAGAAACTGCAAAGATTTTAGTTCCTGTTGTAATTGGGACAGATCCCAGTATGACAACTCCATGGTTCTGGAGAGGGCTCACTCTATATTTCATGCACCACGAACAGAAGGGATGTGTTTAAGATCATTACCATAAAGACAGATTAGCAGCCATATCTGCCTTAGCAGCATTTTGACAATGTACTTTTCCTTCTTTTAAGAGACTGCAGCACTTTTCTCCAAGTGTGTAGACAAAACTGTATTTCAAGAGAGTAATGAATCTTAAAAACATTTTTGCATCAATTAAACATCAGAATAAATAATGTCAAGCATGTGTCTCATGTTCTCCCTTGGCTATGTTTGTTACCACCATTATACCATTCCATCAGGTTTTTTTGCTTCCTGGTATCCCCCTTGCCCCCAGGCAGGATGACATTGCCCTTGTCAGAGCTCAAGTTACACATTTCAGCAGAAGTGGACATTGTTTAGTCTTCAGAGTCACATTATTGACTTGATTTGAAGTTCATGCTTAACAAATGGTCTCTCTTGTCCTTTAGTGTTTGTAGTGGACATCAGTTGAAATCAATATGTATCCCTGTGGGGAGAAGAACAGTCAGTGACGTGCTGTGAATTAAAAATGAAAGTGTTATTTTGTTTAGTTGATTTTTTTTTTGTTCATTTGTTTGGTTGGGTTTTTTTAAATTTCAAATCTATCTTGGTCTTTAAGGTCAGAAAAGCTACTGAGAACAGCTGAGCCTTGGAAGTCACAAATTTATTATTACACTCTGTCCTTTGCAAAAAAATTTGCAAAAGGGCCCTATCTTTCCCTGGGTGCTGTCCCTTTGCACCATGCTAGCAACAGAAGGGACATGTAAAGATCATACAGCCTATTCAGAAAAGTTCATCTGAGCCTTGAGGCAACTAGGCAACCATCACAAGGTGGGATTATTTTTAACCTAATCTGAGCTACTTAAGAATTAGCCATTTAATCTAAACTTGTCCTTAAAGCTTCCTCCACTGTTGGTGCATACAGAGCAATGAACCTGCAGAGAACAGCTCATCACAGTCATAAAATCATAGAATGGTTTGGGTTGGAAGGGACCTAAAAGATCATCTTGTTCCAACCCCTTTCCTATGGGCAGGGACACCTTTCACTAGACCACGTTGCTAAAAGCCCCATCCAGTCTATCTATGAAAAGTGGGAAGAATTGTCTTTCTTCCTACAGACTGTAGCAAATAGATTGGGATTGGACGTGGAAGCTTCTAGAAGTAGCTTTAAGATAGGAATTCCATTCACATTGGTAGAGCATAGCAATTCTCCTGTGTCCTCTCTCATTCCTAGTTACTGATAAGGAGTCTTCTTAGAGAAAGTAAGGTGGGGAATAGGCACCACAGAACCACTAAAATCCTTCATTCATAATTAGCTGGCAATGAGAGCCATTGAAAGCAGTTTCCAAGCAATTATATTTTGTAGGGAATGGCATAGCTGGCTGCTACCAGATATGGAATGAAAAGAAAAATTAAAGACAACCTTTGCATTTCCTTTCCTGAGTTGTGTTTTCTGCTTATCCACAAACAAAAATTTAAGACTGTCTGCTAAGCTGAAAACGACTTTGAGAAGTTGGTAAACAAGTGGAGAAATATAACAAGCTTACCCATTTTCTGGGTGTTCAGTTGTCAGCAATGCCCTTGTACTGACTGATTGTCTAGCAACATTCTGTTTGCTCAGATTAAGGGCTAGATTTGGAGAAAGGTAACCAGAAGGCAAAAAAATATTTTCTGAGAGCTCACTAACTAGTTTTGGCTAGCAGCCTCAGTCATTATCAGCAATTATTAACAAAATCCAGTCATTCTAGGTGCATAGAGTGGAATTCACTCTCATATTTCAACTATTCAACAGGACTGTGTGGATAGCAATAAGTCTAATTTGATGTGATTGGCCAAACTTGAATTAAATCTGTTTTTACACTGAATTGCAACTTGCAAGGCTGAACAAGTTCTGCATTTGATCATTCCATGGTTATATATTCAGTTCTAACTTTTCCTCTCAGAGAAAGACAAATTTGCTTCTAACAGGATTTTACCATTATTACAGATCTCATTTTAAACCCAGGGCTTTTTACTACTTAAGCAGCTGAAGTGCAGCAAATTTCTGGTACAAAAAGGTGAATAAATGCCTAACCAAAAAAAGGGGGGGGAAAAAGGAAAAAAAAAGCGCGATAACCTTTCATAAGGGAAAATCTTTCATAAGTGCCAAAATCTCACCTGTGCAATTGTAATGTGAGGTCTCGTCAAGGTAACATTGGCCAGATTGGGAAGAGGAAATCCTTTTGAGAGTTTGGCTTAAAAAAAAAAAAGAGACAAACAGTAATTTAGTCATGCATTTTTGCCCTGCAAAAGCACTGTATATCCAGAGACTTGGTCATTGACAACAACTACCTCTTAGTCTTTACAAGCAGCTCTGGGAGGATGCTCATTTACCAATGGGGAAAAGGAATTATAGGTGCTTCTCTCTTGGCAGAGTGTTGCAGCCAAACCAAGGCATTTCATGTTCAACACATTACATACAACATACAACATATCAGTGACTTGTCCCTAACAATCCCTGAGGGATCATTAATACAGCTCTACCATCATTAGAACCTGTTTGTATCCATTAACTAAGGAAGGTGATGTTCACCCCAGTACAGAGGGCTGGGACAAAGTTATGTCTCCCTCCAGGGCCTTAAATAAGATTTATGAGAGGCAAAACCTCTGTGCTGGTCTAATAAAGTGGAATACATTTCACACATGGTAGCCCCAGGCAGGTGTGCAGATGAGAGAGACATGCTTCTCCCTCATGCATCAGGGCCACCTAGACTGAGGTGAAGGCAGATTAATTATGAGTTCCCAAGTAATTTCTGCTCTTTTTGCAGAATAGTGACCGTGAGAGGGCGCACCTAGATCCCTGGAGATCAGTCTCCCCCTTCCACTGCTTACTGGATGACGATCATTTTCCTCTAACAGGAACTGAAAACTTTAAAGGAAGTCAGTAGGAGTTCCTAGAATCACCCGCTCTGCTGGAAGTTTTTAGCTGCTGCTTTGATATACATCCTTACCATTAGCTGATGGAATTACTTCAGTCTGTAAAATGTAAGACAGGATGTTCTCCAGAAGCGAGATCTGCCACAGACAAGAAAACTGAATTAGCCATCCCTTCCTGATGATGGTAGAACTGTCGTGCCCTAATCCTGGGTGGAGTTAGTAGACTCATGTTTAACTTTCATCTCTTTTGGCCTCAAAGAGTCATGAACTCAAGTGAACTTTGGATGTTAAGGCTTTGGAATGATGCAAAGGAAGTGAGATGCAAAATGCAAATGGATTTCAACGTGCTTAACCAACGTTTTCATTTAAAACAGTCTATTTCCTTAATTTGTGAGATAATTTATTACCAATAGCAAAGCAGGACCAGAACAGTTTTAATCCTTTCTCCTCAGCTACTCGGAACTGATTGATTATACTGAGAATAAAACGACTCTCTGCGGAGGCAGGGTTTTCCCCTGCCAAGCTACAACTGCACTATTTCAGGCATCTGAGATAAGTATCTTGGCTCCCCCTCTCTATTGTAATTCCGAGCATCTGTGATGAGCACCACTGCAGCACATGGAGTGCCTGTGCCTCAGCCATCCATGTGACCATTAGATGGCACACTGCTCTGCTGCCAAAGCTTAGATTACCGCTCTGTGTTTCACCGTGGTGATTCGAGAGATCTCTGCTTACTGCAGTTTGGGGAACTACAGCATGTCTCATTTGCAGAGCACTAACTTGTCCCAAAGAATATACTTCTAAGTCCACAGCAGAGAGGTGGCTGCTAGAAGACCGGAAAAGAGCCATCTGAGAATGAAGCCAAATAATTTAGAAATACAGATAAAATGTAGCTGCTTACTCTTTAGCCTTCATATGACTGATATTCTTGGTTTACATTTCCTATAAGCTTCAACTACCCACTCACCTCAAAAAAGCCAACATTGGAGTGGGCTAGGGAGAACTGGAGCCTGAGGGAAAGAAGTGAAACAAGATGAGTCACTAAGAAAGGATAAACACAGTTATTCTATTCATGTGCAGTCATTGCTGTAGAGCTCCAGGCCTCACAAGCATCTGTAAAGAGATTTTTGAAGCAATTTCACACAATGCATACTGTCGCATAGAGAAAGACTGTGCTCTTCTTAGGGCATTGCTGAGCATCTATGCAAAAGTGTGCTAGAAGGGCTGTAGCCAGCAATGTGAGTGTGCTTCTCCCTCTGTGCTGTGTTTTGGAAATCCTACTGACAATTGATTTAACCAAGGATTTGTAGGATGTCAGGTATTTTGCAAGGATTTTGGTACATTTGCATAATGCTTTGATGTGAGTCTTACCAGAGTGGGGAGAAAAAATGTGTTCATCATATGGTACTGCTGCTGCTGACTTTGTTGCTGAATGTCTCTGTTTCCAAATTGAAATATTTATTCTGTATGTTACTCTTGTATCCAACACAAGATTTCAGAGTTTCCTCAGCCTCAGCACTCCAGGTCTCAAGGCCAGCTTCCCGCACACTCTAGATTTTTGTCTTTGAAAATTGCTGCAAAAGCTGCTAACAGCACTATCCTCCTTAAACTCGTAATATCTCTCTGCCCTTACAAACTCCACATATTCTTAACCCTATAACTGTCTTCCCAGGGGACTTTTATGAAATTGGGGTCCTAATTCCCAGCTGTGAGGTCCTGGTATACAGAGCTTCTCTCTATAAAGTGTGACATGCTAGATGTCTAAATGTCCAAGCCTCTGGTCTCCAGCTTTCTGACCCTTGGAATTTGCAGGACTTCATTTGGTGAATCTCTGCTCTAAGAATATTGGCATAGGAGACCTGCAGGGGCCCAGTTTCTTTGCTGTGTCCTGGACTGCTCTGAAGTTCTTTAGTAGCACAGGTGGTCTAGAAAGCAGTGACATCTTGCCAGCTGGAAAATGGTGAGGGGAAACTGAGATGACCTGTGGTCAACATAACTGCCCTGCACGCTTCATTTATCTAGCTCAGAGGGGAAAGTAGATGTAAAAAGCAGAGAAGTCCAGTGAGACCACGCCCCTGCAGCAATCCACAGCTGGTGAGCAGTCCCTTGGGACATAGCAGTTGTCACAGAGAAGCTTCCTGCCTCCTCTAAACTGTATAAATGCAGCTAGAGTTAGAGAATCTAATGCAGATGAATTTACCAGGGAAACATACTCATCTGATCATGTGCCTAAATGGCTAATGTTGGGATTGCTAACAGTGTTTTCCAAAGGCCTGGAAATTCTTTCCATCACAGGTTGAATTACCTGTTCAAACATAGTGAGCCCATCAATTTCTGATCAAATATATTCAGAGAAATGCTGCTGTTGGCTGCCTGCAGAATAAAGAAACCATGGGTTACCAGACATAAAAAACCCAGGACCCTTGCTGTGAATTAGTCACAAATACATAAATACCATCCATACCACTTAGCTATGGAAGCTGTTTTAGGTAAATGCAAGGCTGCACCCAATAAATGTCTGTTTGTCTGAATGACACGACAAGAGCTGAAATGTGGGTAATGAGCTTTCCCTAATCAAAGACATGAACAAGTTGCCAAGAGGCATGACTCATACCCACAGAACTGTCATTCCAGAGAACAAAACCTTGGTTAATCAGAGAGTTTTGATTTTTGTCCATCTATAGGAAAATGTTCTCTGCCACAGAAGTTAAGCGACGCCACAAAGTCACCACCTGTGACTAAGGGGAATTTGCATGTTTAAGTACTAGAAATTTGGCATTTTCTTTGTTTCTTCTACAAGTTTTAACAGAAGGAAGGAACAAACATATTTAACCCTGAGTTTAATATCACCTTGTTCTTTGTACTTACTACGTTCACTGTGAACAGCGACTGGGTGGTTGAGTCTGGCAGAACAGCCAACACCTCCATAGAGCCCTGAATCTCTACTGTGAAGGAATCCTGCTCTAAGCTGATAACAGGTATTTCAGTAGCCATTAGCTTCAACATTACTGGATAGGGTGTAACCGAGTATTTGGCGACCTGTAAGATTGCAGGACAAAAAAGAAAAAAATACAGAAAACCACTTCTTGTAGAACAGAATACTGCATTGTCTCATTCTTGAAGCAATCATTTTGAAGTAGTTCCTTAAGATGAGATTAAGGATAGCTGCTAACACAAGGTTTGTTCAGGCAAGCAGGAAGTACAGGTTTTCTGTGGAGATAAATTAACAATCTTGGCCACATAGGAATGCAGTGCAAAGTTCCTTCCACCTGAGGAATACAAATTTTTCTATATCACTTTGAGAGAAATTAAATACTGATTTGTGAACAGAAGAGAGAAATGGACCACAAATGTGACATTTAAGGTTACACAATGAAAGAGCTAAGGAGTCATTCACTTTGAAATTCACCCATCTCACGAGAGAGATTCCTCCTCTGGTTCCTCCTCTGGACTGTTCTCTTAGGATCCTCACTCCATTGCCTGGAGAGTGAATAGCCTCACCAAGGTCATTAATCAAAACAGAAGGAGTGGAATATTAGCAGCAATGCTCATGGCATTTTATGGAGAAGACCATATGATGACTGCCTGTGGAGAATTTTATATTTCTGAGGAAGGAACTTAATAACATCTGGGAAGCAAACAAGAATGTGAAGTTCTTTGAACCATTAATCTGATTTCATCCAACCTTGGCATTCTTGGCCTAGGGGTTCTTATACTCATTTTTGGTTTCTCATTCTGTTTGAGAAGGCTGGTGGAAGCCATGCATACTCATATTCTCTGTCATGTTATATTCATCTCCTCCACCTAAAATAGATGGAAATCCTGTGCATCTGCCTTGTCTGTTCCATAGGATATAATGTTTCCTCCTCATCTGTTAGCTGGATTTCCTGCACATGGTCTTTCTGCTAGTCAGTCACAGCAAAGCAATGAAGCAAAGACAATTATGCAGGTTTGGACAGGAGGAAGGTGTTCTTTCTGAGCTGAGGCCCTTTCAGAATTCTCTCAAAGCAGGACTTATGACTGAAAGCTTTTCCCTGCATAGAGATAGTTTTAGGTGGGAACAGCTGTGGCTTGGGCACAGTGCCCAGAGTAAAGATTGATGTGCAAGGTTATGGGCCAAGATTATGTTTGGTAACAGTGCAAGTCATTCAACTCATCATGGGGGTGGGAAGTGACAAGGCCCATCTGCTCTTCTGTTATGAGGCATATATGTGCCAGCTTCTCTAGTGCAGGAGCCCTGCTGGCCCTAACAGCCTTTGGGATACACCAATAGTGAGGTGTCTTGACACTCACACTGGGTGGTTTACTAAGACTTTGTGGAAGTAATGATACTCACCTCAGGGATGATACTGCCAAATATCTCTGTGCTTATATTAAAATAGCTGCAGGTCTGGAAGAAAAAATAAGAGAAAACAAATGAATTTGACCTTCATGGTCAGCTTTTCTCTAAATGCATTATTACTCTCGTTTCAATAAATCTTTAATTTTGTACCTCTCAGAAATATTCCTAAGAGACTCCGTATACTTTAAAGCTGATTCCCAATAATACATGCCACAATAATTCCTGAGAAAGCAAATGCTTAATGTCATTATAATATGGGCTACAATCTATAGGTTTTGGGACTTACTGAACCTCCTGCAGTCAGGTAAGCCAAGTCAGGCAGCCTCCACGCACAGCTACTGTACTTTGATATATGGTTTCCTTCCATGGCCCCTGTAATACTTTTATTCTACAAAGATCCCTCAAAAAACAGCCACTGAGGCTGCAAAATTCCCCAAAGTCAATCCCTTGTCCATGTCAGAGAAGTCTAGGCCTCAGGTCTATAAAAACCTTATTTTTTGTAACAAAGTTTTGTAGCTTGCTTAGCTGAACTTGGCACACCTGGCTGTGGCCTGAGACCTCTATAAATAAAAGAGAATAACAATACCTTTGTATTTATGATCTACTGTCTCAGGACTCTGCAGACCAATTAACAGCTTTATCTGGCTGCACACTGACATCTGGCAGGTCAAAGTTCTATCTGAGCCACTCTGACCCCACTCCTCTCTGTCCTACTCACCTCCTCTGCAATGGTCATGTTGAAGGCCCCTGCGGTGTAGTAAGCAAATGAAGAGGTCTGAAAAAAATACTCAGAGAAGGCCAGGAAGAGCATGGAGTCTCTTTGGTCTGTGACAGCAAAGGGAGCTACCACATAGGGAGAGCCAGTATAGTTTCCAGCTGGGAAGACTGTGCCCTGGAAGTTATTGTCAGAGATAAAAAAAAAGGAGACAAAATATAACTTTAATATGACTGCAGACAATGAATGCTACTTTCCTGTACTTTGCCCAGGCTGTTCATTTGGTGTATAAATGAGTGCACAGGCTTCATAGTACACCCTGAAGGCTTGGTGCTTTCAAGCAGGTGGTGAAGGCAAGTTCCAGCAGTGGGACACCTTCACAGATGACACCCAAGATCTGTCTTTTGAGATCCTGATCACCTCCTGAAGACAACCTCCCATCTCAGAACAAAAACCTCCTAAATTAAGGGTCCATATATTGCATGAAGAGCACAACTAGCGGTCCTCATTTTTGAGAAGCCTTACTTTCTCCTTTCCCCCCATCTACAGGAATTTGAATCTGAGAACTGCTGCTTAGAGCTATCCAATGGTCTCAATTACAAAATGGATTTCTAAAACCAGAGGTCTTTCTTGGTCAAAATCAGCACCATACTCTACCCAGAAGCAAGTTGGTATCTTGTGCAGACAAAAGAAGACTTGAGAGAAAGGAAAGTTGTGTCAGACAAACCTAAAATGCCTGTGTCGTCTTCTGTATTACCAATGATGCTAGCCAAGACTTGCAGATCTAATGCTTCCAAATGCACACACATTAAACAAAAAGGTAAAAACTGATTTAAAGTGATGAAGGCACTTAGAGGTTAAAGGTTTTTTTATCCCTTTTATTAGTTCCCTGTCTCTGTTTCATCTCAAATATATTCTGTATGTCTTTACTTTCTCGTTCAGCTCTAAATTTCCAGTTGCCTTTTAAGGACTATCAAAATGCTTACAAAATGCTGAATCACAGCTAGTGACCTCCCCACTCAATTCTCACTTGCTGGATTTACCAGTCACTTGCTTCATGTATTTCCCGCATGTAACTTATGTGGGAGAGTAGCTCTTGTAAACAGCCATGACATTACATCTTTAGTCTGCTCAAGTTCCTGCTTAAAATCTAGTTGCTGCATTACTTGGAAGAATTTGACAGCAGCTGCAGAGCTGGTGTGCCAACACCAGTGTCCACTGTAGAGATACTAACTTTTTGTTCCTTTGTGTTTCCACCTCTCTTATTTACCTGCTGACTTTTTTTAATACTTAATTTATAAGATCCTTGTAACGAGACTGTCTTTTCATTCTCCCTTTGTAGAGCACCTAGTGCAAGGCAGCTTAAACTTAATTAAGGATCTTAGATACAGTGATGATGCTGACTACCCTCAATCAATTCACCTTACATAGAATGACAATGAAGTCATTTTAAAATTGGAAACTAGTCAGATTTTAGTTTCAGTGCATAAGGAGACTTTTTCCTTAATTTGAAAGAAACTTCCAGGTCTTCAGACTCAGCAGCACTCCTTGGGCTCCCATGTTTTTTCAAGGGTCTTCAATCTTCCCATTCAGGAAGCCAGAGGCTGAATTCTTGGTCCTATAGTCTTGTCTTGGTCCTATAGTCTTGCTCTTTCTTTTCCTCTCTCATCTGACAGCAGACACATCTAGTTAGTGCAATGTGTAGAAATATTCCCCTGACTGACTGAACAAAGAAGTCCCAGACATTAATCAACAGCGAGAGAAAGATGATGTTGAATATTATTTTGTTTCCTTTCCTTTTCTCTTTACTTCTAACTTGCTTAGTCAACTTTTACTGTTCTCTATTTTCTATGACTAACTCAACAGCAATTAAAAAAAAGGATGTGGCTTTTAAATAATTAATTTTACAGCAAGATTGTTACAAATTATTACAATAACAAATGCAATAATGCTTTGAAATGTCTGTCTTAGATACTCAGCCTCTGTGTTCAGAATAGCAATCATGGTCAGCTTAGAAAGTGGATCATACAGCAATCTCGGCAAACAGCACTACAATTACTTACCTTTAAGTCCAGGTCAATGAATGGTTGGAATACTGCTGGCAAGCTACTTAAGGAGTAGTCTACTTCAGCCAAATCATCAATTGGCATTACAACTGTAAGGGTGGTAGATAAGGCAAGATATAGAATATTACAAAAAACACAGAAAGAGTTTTATGTATACTTAAAACTAAGTCAGTTTCTGAAGGAGAATGACACCCCATTGCTCCAGAGAGTAGGGAAAAACACAACCAGGGACTTCCCAACATGCATTGTGAACTAAGGCTTGATAATTCTACTGGAACCTTCTGTAAAGCACTGTCTTTGTCTATTGTTTTCTCACTATGGAAAAGTTTGGTCTAATAAAAAAGAGGAAATGGCCATCAGTGATTCAGGGCATGAGGAGGTGTTGGGATTTCTTGTCAAGCAGTTCTAAGAACATCCAGAGTGTCTCCAACTTGCAAATACTTTCCCAGAAAGCAGGGTGCCTGATCTGCTTAGGTACTTGTGTTTTGCACAGGGTGTCTGATCAACAATTCCGGTGTCTTAAAAGCCTGCAAATCTAACCCAAAATAGTTCAAGTGAGAAGCTTTTTTGCCAAGGAGAATTTCCTTCTGCCTTTGGCAAGTCTGATATATAGGCAAGTAAAACTTAAATTTTCAGGCAGGCTAGGAGAGCAGGCTTCAGCTTTTAAATTGCTGTGTGTGCAGGAGGACTTGGAGCATGGGAGGGAAGGGAAAATTGCTGTAGTCTCAGTACTCTGTGGCCTTCAAGTTGCATTTCTAACAACAGAAGTGCACACTGCTGCATTTGCAAGTTGAGAATCGCTACCAAGTCCTTGGCTCTTACAAATATAAATTTCTTGTCCAAGTGGCCTTGCTTACTGTTTCTGTAAGCAAGGGAGCAGACAGAGCAGAGGGGCTGATACCACTTCTGGACATGGCTGTTAAGGAACCTGCAGAATTTCACTGATCAGCAGAGAAGAAGCAGAAGGAAAAGGTATCACTACTGACTCACCATTCAGCGATCGGAGGTCTTCATCTATCAAATGGATCCCAGCTCTGATGTTGGGACATGACTGTAATAAAAGCACACTCAAGTTATGGCCTGATTAGCGTGGACATGTAAGCACCTCTTACCTGTGTGCTAGCAGATCTTTCTGCTACATGACACACATTGCAGCATTTGTTTATCAAAACACCTAATCTGGCTTTTCTTCAGCTAACTGGATCCCCAAGGTTTCTGCTTGGTGCAATGTAAGCATATCCTATGTCAGAGCTGCAAAAAAGAGGGAAGTTGCCAGAGGCAGCCTGGTGGGGGTGACAAAACCACAGCCTTCAATAGCAAAAGGAGACAGATCTCACATTGGTCTCACAGGAGAAATCTCAGAATCATGGACTCACTTATGTTGGAAAAGACCCTTAAAATCATCGAGTCCAACTGTAAATCTCTGTCCTGGGACAGAATCACAGCCATCTCAAGCTCTGTCTCCTCTCAGTGGCACTAGTCAGGTTGTCATCAGGACTGCTCACTTCTTTAATACAATGAAGTTTAAATATGTCATACTATCAGTTGATGTACTATAATTTCTCTATGCATAACCCAGTATATGTTTTGTCTGCCAAGTACAAAAATTGCCCATATTCCATGATGCCTGTAGCTACACAGGCAGAGACTTAATTCTGCATTGGAATGGGAAAATAACTACATTTTCTGGCCCTACTGCTGCCCTGGTTGAACTAGCTGTGGACTAGTCAGTATCTTGGCCATGAACTTTATCTGGAAGCATTTCTGGCTGGCAAAATGTTGCCTGTGCTGATCAGACCTGAATAGATCTATTACAGGATTATTTTTCTAGCTGTACTTTACCAAGTTCACTCGTGAATGTCACACTCCTTACACCCCTCCCCTACACAATGTGAAATGCTTACATTAGTGACCAAGCTCCTGTGAATAGGTTTCTTCAGATACTTGATAAAGAAGTTATGCAGGAAGCTAGAGGGAAGGAAGAAAGCAATTCATGTGTCAAGTACCATGGTCATTAACAGGAGATCAGCTATCTCTGTAGAACACTAATTTAATGTCCTCTGAGTGTGATATTCTAGTACAAAGAGAGCTTTCTGAAATGTAAAAACTATCAGAGAGCCACTATTTTAAAGGAGATAACTTCAGCATCTCAGGAATTAGCCAGGGTTAATTCATCTATATGAAAAAGCAATTCTTCATAGTACCACCATCATATATGTACAAACACAGAACAAATAAGTAGTGTCTGCACTAGGAACTGATACAATTAAAAACAAACAAACAAAACAAAACCAGGTGACAAAAGTGGTATTCAGACAGTGAGAGAAGTACAAGGAAACAATGAAATATTGTTGCATGTATCCAGAGGCTTAACAGACAGCAGTCTGGTTCTGTTCAATTTTGATAGCACTGTGACTGGGGGAGTGAAACACAGTACAAGCATGTAACTTCTACTTAAAGCTGAAGATTAGAGCAGAGATTTGAAAGAAGTGGGAGCTGAAGAAGCACAAGGGATTGTTTGATTCTGTCTTTATCTTCTATTGTGCGCAAATACAAGGATAAATATCAATGTTGGCCATTTTAACACTGTATTAGGTCCCCAGTTCTCACCTGTGGTGTCTATAGATACCTAAAAGCAATTCTGGGTGCCCTGTTTCATGAGGTTGTCTCTATGCTATTCATTGACACTTATTTTCTCCCAGAGTTTATACAGATCTCTTCCACTTACCCGCTTTTTCCATTCAGCTTGATATCTATGTCACCAGAAGTTGTCCGGCAGCTGGTAAGGGATATTGATGTAGGACTTGTATTGTCCTGGGGTGTTGAAAAGATTGCAGTGACAAACACCTTTGAAATGTGCACTGTGCTTCTTCCGCTGTCTTTGCTGCATAAAGTAAAAACAAATAAAATACTGAAAAAAACCCCACCTCTTCATTATGGACTTGCCTGGCAGTCCGAACCAGTGGCTGTTCATGGTCACTGCCATTAACTTGCTCTGCTTTGTCTACTTTGGGCACTTGCCAGTGAGGGCACTGTCCCTCCTACTGTGCCATCACCCTCAGCTCCCGGGTCCCCTCCCCTTGAAAGCAGCCAGCCCTACTGTCCCTGTGAGCAGAAGTGCATATCAGTTCTGTAATTCAGGCAGTTTAGCAATATAGGTAATGTGAGTTGTGGAGAAGGGAAGAGGGATTTATTTCCTCTGAAGCAGCATGGGACTAGGAAGGTGTGGACACGGCTCTAAGGATATTGCCATTTGCTCATCCATTTTCCATCAGCTTTTGAGCTATATCTCCTGGAGGCATAGCAGAAGGTTTCTAACAGTGTAAGTGCACTGGGAGGTTTTATTATACTGGGCTGTGACCCACCACACTACAGTTTTTCTAAATGTGTCATTAGCTGGCAGGCTGGATAATGACAGCGTTCATCCAGAGTAACAGTCCTTTATTATTCACAGCAGTGCTTCTCAGCCACAGGCTCTTCATCAGTGCTTGTGTCTGAGGGAGCTGTCTCCCACCAGCAGACCTGTTGAGAAGAACCAGTCTGTGCTTCCGGGTTACTGCTGCCAGCTGATAAAGAGTACCTTTGTCATGAAGAGAACACAAGAAAAACTAAACTTTGCATTTTTATCTTTATACGAAGGAAAAATTGCAGGACACATTAAGCTGTACATACAACATCCAGGTCCTTATGTTCCAGTTCATGTCGATGGTTAGAGAAGCATTTCCTATCACCAGTTTTATCCCAGACCCAGGTAGAAGGGCGATGGAAGCACTGGGTAATTCAACAGCAGTGACATGTATTCTAGAGCATAAGACAGATAAGGAAGAGATAAGAAAAAGAAAAGTTTGTATTTCATGAGTCAGAATGAACACACAATAAGATTCAAATTTCAGTCAAACATAAATTTCCCCTGGAGAGAATACTTACCCAGAGATGTTGTATTTGACATTACCAAGCCCAAATTTCTCATGGCCAGTCAAATCAGGGAAACGCTCCTTTTCCATGTTCTGCTTCAGGATTTCCAGCCCAACCTCCTTGGCTACAGGAAAACAACGATCAGTTCAGTTGCTTTTGATACTGCCTGGGAGCTTATAGTTACATGTTTCTGGCTCAGGAGGTGGGATAGGCACAGAGTCAGGAAGAAGATGATATCTCATGTGAGACCCAGTAGTGTTATTTCTGATCTCACTCCTAGTCATGGCAGGAGCTGAACTGATTCAATATCTGAAGGCAGATGAGGCTCAGTATGATGTCCAATGTTGTTAAGCAGCTTACAGACTCCTAAATTTTCCTTTATAGCCTGTGATCAGGTCATTTCCTCCCACTGCCCTCACTGTCCTATGTCTCTCATATCAGGATTCAGTGCAATACCACCAGCAGCTCCTGAAAACATCACACATACCATACTCCAAGCCCTTCTGGGTGATCCTCACTTTGAGTCCAGGGTTGGCATTGAATTGCCCACTGAGCAAACTTAAGAGAAGGAGAGAACAGCAAATCTTCAGCATCTTCCTCATTTTTTACAGGACCTGTTAATAAATATTTATAATTATAGCAAAGTTCATGCTATGTCACTTGGTGGTTGTACTCCCTTCCCCTCCACCCTAGACAGCAGCTTTCCCTCTAGAGTGGAGAAAGTGGAAAGCTCAGCAACCATGGAAGAGAGGACCCATTCTGCACAGACTGTTTCAAAAATAGAGCTCCATGGGGTAGAGGAGAAAAGTCAGCCTATTCACTGCCACAGAGACTGGGGAAAGCACTTGGGATACATCCATCCAGACAAACCCTGTCGAAAGCGACGTGACATTGAATTTTTAGGCTGTCATTTCCACTCCCACCTCTAGCTGGCGAAATAAGTAGCCTTTTTTTTCGCAAAATATGTAATGCTCTCAGTGCCTCTTGGTGATTCAGCAGACATCACTGCATCTTAGCACTTTGGAAAACCTGATTAGCTCACTTAATTACAGGCACAGATACCCACACTTTTGGAGCTACTTATTAAGATCTTAGTCACAATTTTGAGATATGCCTTATGTTCCCTTCTGACAGTCAACAAAAGAAAATGATTTGGTGCCAGCAGACAATGTTTTCATATTCCCTAGACCACATGTTAATAAATGCTTTAAGTTTTATCCAGAAACTCTCTGTGCAAACTCCATGGTCCAACAGATGTTTGGTTTTGCTTATTTGCTGTTTCATTACCAGAAGTAATAATACACTTCAAACCTCTAAAATATTTTGTTATGATAACAGTTTAAGCAGACTGCAAAATTATAACATTGACTTAATTTTTTATAAGAGTTCAAGCAATCCCACAGAACACCTTTGCCTTTTAGTATGATAGTATTTTCTTTTTAATTTTAACTGACTTTTATTGAGAGATGAAAGAAACACTCTTCATGTGTGGAATCCAAAGGTGAAAGATACACAGTCCATGTATAGAACAAAAACAAAGCACTGGAAGGAAATGTGTATTTAACATAGGCATAGTGCTCAGATCATAAAATCTCAACATTTAACCAGATTTAGCTACATCTATCTCTGCCCAACAAAGCCCCTCCTCAATAAAAACTAATCACAACACATTTATTTTCATACCTCTCCTCTGAAGACTGAAGAGAAGACTCTTACTGTACCAGACCACAGGACTGAGGACGATGCAGGGAGAATCATCTGCCACCACAACCCCGTCTTTTAAAGGAAAGAGCTGTGAGCTTTAAGACAGCCAATTGCTGCCATCTTCAGCAGTATCACACAGGGAGTGGCCTCTCTGATAATCACATCCCAAACTATTTTGGGTGTCCCAGGTTAAATCTATCAAATTTCATTTAGGGATAAGCAGGGGGCAATGTGAACTGTTGGATGGGGGTGCCCAGGCACTGGGGTGCTGAGTTTGGGATGGCGTGCTGCCTTTGTGGCAGATTGTTTCGGCACTGGCTTTTCACATGGACCTGAGAGGAAACCCCAGTGAGAATTCCACTATTTCCAAAGGACAGGCACTCAAATTCCAGTAATTCCAAAGGACAGACACTCATAACCAGGTCTGTATTTTGAAAGAAATAAATTAATGTGCAATCACTGTTAAGAACAGATGGAAAACAAGGCCCATCTGTCTGAAATTGCTCAGGATACAGAAAAGCACAAACCATATAAGATTTATGTTCAATCAATCATGGCTAGGCTTCGTGAACAAAGATTTGAGATTTATGTTATAGCATAACACAGACACTATAGTGTGCATTTATGGTGCAAATATATAGTATCAAGTCCTTGTAGTCAATATTTTCTATTTCTTGTCCTTACTTATCCAGTTAACTGGTACTTCAGCTAACCAGCACTCCTTGGCTTGTCAAGGAGGTGATTTAATCAATTAGCTTGCATGTACTAAGCAAATTCCCTCTGGCATGGAGCACTTTGCTGGACAATCTGAGTCACTTCATTGTGCAATCCATGAATAGAAAAGGTAGAGGCACTTGTCAGTCAGTCAACAGATACTCACATTTACACAGATTTAACATTCACTGCAGGGAGTCACATGCATAATAATTTCATTATTTATATCTCTGGCAACTGATGATGAATATCATTTGCACCATCAGTTACAGAAACCTCTATAAGTTCTTTTGGCACAAGTTCTGCTGTTCCTATAAAGCAAGGGAAAGTTCCATTGTTTCCATCCACACAGATCTCCAATATGTACAAACAACTGAATTGTCTGAAAACTATGTCAGCTTATCCTCATCATATCCTTCTAACATGTTATGATTCTTCTAATAGAATACCACCCAGTTTAGATAAGACTTTTAGCAAAAGTTGACAAAAACACACTAAGGCTTCCAGAACAGTTCTGTCATTTCTTTCTACAAGTATAGGAATAAAAGGCAACTGTCTACTTACAGACACATTCAGATAGCACATTCAAATACACTACAAATAGCTTCTACATCCAAACTTTTCACCCTTCAAGGTGTTACAAAGAGCCTCTAAGAGGAGTGTTTTATTTTAGCTTTCTCTGAATTTTCTTTGATGTGTATGATAAAGGGGATATAGGTTTCAACCCTTTTTACCCAATACACAAGAAACCAAATGAAGTTATCAGTATGGCAATACTACAAACTTGTTGCTATATCTCTGCAGATCACTGGTTTTGCATGTTTCCTGCCCCTGCCTCTGGCTCAGTGCTCCAGTGGTCCCTTTTCCCTGCTCCCCAATTCTCCCTTTTCTCCATGCTCTCTATTCTGCAGCAAATTGATGAACATGAATCATTTCCATGGTTCTATCAATCAGGAGACACCACCAGATCGAAAATGGTATAGTGACCTGTAGGATTATACAGGGGGAACTGTTGTTTTATGTGACATCCTGTTTAGTCCTCAGAGAAATTACTACATCACTTTGTGAACAGCCAGAGGACTAGAGCTTAAGAGACAGTGTTGTGCTAAGCCATGACTCTGGCCTGAAAAGGTCCATTGACCCATGGTACTTGGTCAGTCCTGAAGCGGGTGTCCCTTTGGAAGAGCAAATAGATAGACACCAGAGCTTCAGTTTTCTTTTTCCTCTGTATCTCATGAATTGTCCTCCAAATTGGCAGAACAAATTTCCTGATATCAGTGAAGGACACCAAACTAAGTAAAAATCTTCATTTCTTTTGAGTCTACTACAGAATACAATGAATCAGATGCTGTGATTTACTGCTGTTTGGTTTCAGGATGCTTTTTTTAATTAAAAAACTGTATCAGCCAGCTAGATAAATAAACTGATTCAGCTAAAACTATGGAAGCCACATTTCTGTCCCAAGATGGAACTGAACTTTCTGTGGTGAGACATTTGCAGACTAGTTTTTCTTTTCACACACTCAATATCTCCTGGTTGAGTGTCTCTGATGACACTGACATAAGACAAAATAAAGCTACCAGCTTCATTTTATAAATATTAGAAGTATGGAATTATTTGGAGATTGATACCCTCAAAGAGGTACAGCGACTCACAAACAAGGAACAACTGCTGGATGACAGAGAAGCCAAGGACAGCCTTGGCTGCAGTGAGCATGAAAGTGTGGATTTTCAGATCCTGAGAGGAGCAGCAAGACAAAGAACAGAATTACAACCATAGACTTCAGATGAGAAGATTACAGGGACCTGCTTGGCAGGATCTGTGGGAAATTGCCCTGGAGAGCAGAGGCCCAGAAGAGCTGGCTAATCTTCAAGGGCAGCCGCCTCAGAGCATACGAATAGTCCATTACAGTGTTCAGACAGTTGAGCAATTGTGGCAGAAAGCCATGATGGATGAACTTGGAGCTCCTGAGTGAGCTCAAACACAAAAAGGAAGCATACAGAAGATGGAAATTGAGACCAGATACTTGGAAGGAACACAAAGATCTTGTTTGCACATATAGGAATAAAGTCAGGAAAGCCAAAGTGCAACAGGAAAGGTTTCCCTAAGTACATTTATAGCAGAAGAAATGGGGGGACTAGTGACAAAAAATACAGAAAAGGCTGCTTTTACTAGCAAGGCTTGTCCTCTGGACTGAACCAGCAGGTGCAGGTTCTCAAGGAGGCTTGAGAACGTGAACTACAAGGAGAGTCTGAGAGATTAGGCCTGTTCAGCTTGTAGAAGAGAGGGCTTGAAAGGCCATTTTGTTGCCTGCAATGTTTTGATCAGAGACTACAGAGAAAATGGAGTCAGTCTATCTTGGAAGTGTGTGGTGAAAGTACAAAAGGCCATAGAACAAGCTGGAACATGGGAAATGTTGATTTGATATTAGGAAAAAAAATTATTCTGAAGGGAGTTAAGCAGTGGAACAGATTGCCTGGAGAGACTCTGGAATATCCATCCTTGAAGGCGTTCAAGACTTTACTGGACACAGTGCTCAATAACCTCATATAATTAGTCCTGTTTTGAGCCAGTGTCTGGACTAGATTATATGATTCTATAACTATATGGCAATTAACTGCATTTTATAAATTTCTTCCCACTCTCGGTATCCAGTTACAAAGGGACAAATTGTGAAACGCTTACAAAGAATAAGATCTCACTCCATACACAAAATTTTGCTAATGCTAATGGAGATAAATTGAATAATGAAAGAACTTGTTCCTAAAATTAACAAAATGTGGTGTCTGTAACTCTACTGAAAAGAACCAGTTGCTGCTTCAGATCAGGCTGCAACAAGTTTTCCAAAGCATCAATAACAGTTAGCTACACTCACTGTACTAAAACCCAACACATTCACTTTGTGAAAAGTGCTTAAAAAGTTTTACTAAAAGACTAAAAATAGTGATGAAAAGCTATGCTTCTAATGTTATAGCATCTACTCCCTACAAGCCAACAGAAGGAAAACTACATTTTTCTCTTATTATTCTTTAGAAGTAAAAAGACATCAGGAGTGGCTGTGGAGGTCCTCATCTTCCCTATCCTCTGGTTGGTAGTGAACATCAGTGGAAATAACCAGATGACCCTGAGGAAAGAAAAACACGTAAAATTACTTTAAATTTCAGACATATATTCAGGGACACTACTCTGGGATTAGATCCCTTGGTAAGCCCCTCAGCAGGGCAGGAGACAAGAGTGGCTTTGTGCCTCCCGAACTGTAGTTAACTTTAGAGTAGGAATGGGCTTTGATGTAGGTTAACACTCCAGAAGGCTGAGTAACACTTACCAGAGACACACAGGTTGCCTATGAGCCTTCCTAGAGAAAGGTCAGAGGAGCAAGGACTCACACACTCAATGCTCCTAAGAGGATAGCAGCACTGTCCTTGTCATGTCCCCATGCTGGCACACCCCAAAGGCCTAGTGGACCTTTTGCAATCTATAACTGCTGGGGCGGGGGGCTCATTTTGGATCCAGAGTTTGCATGTTATACCTAATGCATTGTGAAAGCTTTACTAATAACAACATTTAGATTTACCCAACACAGGAAAACACAAAAATATGCAGGCCCGAAACAGAAGCAATATTCTATAAAAGAAATTTGGCTTCTCACCTGATTCATTTTTATTGCAGGTCCAGTCAGGCTAGTGTGGGCCAAGTTAAGAAGAGGAAATCCTTTTCCTAGTTTATCTTTGGAAAGGACAAATATAAATACATTTGAATGTAATAACAAAATGCACTTCAGAAGCATCTTTCTCAATGTGTTAGCAATTTTCCTTCAATTAGCCATCCTTGAGCCTCTCAAGGAAGCAAAAAACCCTGTGAAAAAGTTGCATCTAAACCTCTTACAATCTCTCATCTCTCTGACACTGCCTTTGTTCGTCTCCAGTTATGTGCCCCTCAAGATCTGGTTTCTGCTGTTTCCCACTCTGTGTTACTCTCCATCTTCCTTTCAATTTCTTCTCTACTTGATCCTCATCCAAAAGGATGAGTCCTTTTGGCTCCTCTTATTCTCATCTATCCCTACTTTCCTGGATCAAGCCTCAGGTCTATTCATATTTGCTTTTCCAAACATCTAACATGCATCCTGCCCTTTCATTCTCTTTTCTTTCTCCTCATTGGTAGCTCACTTTTTTTGTCAGAAGTCTCCTCAGCTCTGTTCCTGTGAGAGGCACCTTCTGTACTCTTCCACCCGTTTCTTTCCACCATCATCCTTTTCTTTGTCATCCCTCATTACCTGTATCCTACTGAACTGATTTCTATTCTGTCTGGCGTGTGGCAGCAGGTGAAGCACAAAGGCAGAGAGGTGATAAAGTCAGAGATGTTAACCCAAGGCCCAAAGGTGCAAATGTGCTTCTGCACTTCCTCAGTTTGGGCCATTCTCGGCTCATGACTTGACTCTCCGTCAGGACGAGACTCAAACATGTCTCAGCTCTGCTGCCACACTGCATTCAGTGAAAATGAAACCCAAGCCCAGTGTCTGAAAGGGAGCCAAGACTTGCTCTGTTCCAGCCCCTGATCTACATAGCTGAATGACCAGGATCAAAGTCCAGCACAGAGTAAACCTGCCCTGGTGTCACCAAATGAACAGAAAACCTCACACAACAGAGTCTTTAAGGTTGGGCACTCCCTTTTATGGTTTCAGTCTTGCTTTCCCCCCAGCTGTGCTCAGAACTGGCCACAGTCCTTACCATTGATTACTGGGATTACTACTCTCCGTAAAGCATACGACAGAAAATTCTCCACCACTGACTTCTGCTGTGTGGGGAAAAGCACATTTGGTGATTATTGCCTGATGCCTATGGGTTTGCAGCTTCACAAGGAAGATGAGTGTTAGAACTGAAGTGACACACAAAAAGATCAGAACAGAGCTTGGCAGAGAAAATCTCAGGCAAAAAAAAAGATATATTTTGGGTTAAGTTGCAAAGAGGTGTCCATTTTCTCACAATGAGTTAAATTGAAGGTGTTTTTTTTCCTCTATGTTAAATACCTGGATTGAACCTTAACTTTAGGAATTAAATATGTTCAACCTCATTTCAGCTGGTAGACTCAGTTGTCATGGGTGAACTGTTCTCTGGGTGGCAAGAACTGCCCTGTCCTGAAGCTCTGTCTTACACCACTGTGATTAGTCTCTTCCTCCCTTCACTTAAAGGTATTGGTTGGGCTGAGCTGCTGCAGAGTCTCTCTGATCATTTCTCAGTCTACAGTGAAGGATCTAAGCAGTGGCATCATGTTTCTTTTATTCCCTTTTTTTTTTAGTCCTGTTTTTATGTTATTTGGTTGAAGTAATTTAAGATAATTTATGATATGGAGCTTAAGTCTGACTTTGTATTCACTTCAACTGCTACACATACTCAGTCCAGCTGTGACTTCTGCCTGAACCCAGGCAGACTCCATTACAATTTGAGCCTCTGATGAAAAAAACAAAACAACACAACACAACACTCTAAGAGGTATTTCCTCTTACTAGAAAGAAAAAGAAAAAGAAAAGCATAGCATATACTATTTCAAAGCAGAAAGAGCAGTGGCAGATAATGTCCCCAAGACAGACCAATAATTGTTCAGCAGCAAGTTCAGAAGTATTTCTTTTATCTCTGAAGGGGTCAGCTACTTATTCCAGGCACTGAAACCATCAGCTTACCTCAGGGAAGCTAAGATTGGAGTGCAGTAGGGAGAACTGGAACCTGAAGAGAAGTAGTAAAAGAAGAGAATTCACTATAAAAGATGAAGGTACAACTTATGCACACTACTTGAAGATCCGTTTGTGGAAATTCATACTGATTTCACCCTGATTCACACATTTAACTTTGCCAAAGATTCTTTGATTCCCAACAGCTTTTACCTAAAACTGGCACAACTACAAATGAGTTATAGAATCACTGGGTTCTTTCTGGTACTAATCTCCTCCTACGGTCATGTGTAGTTCTGGGCTGTAACTGTAAGACTTAGGAAATCAATTTTTCCTGGAATTGCTATTTCTCCAATGGCTGAACTACACATTCCTCAAATATGCATTGTGATTTGAATTAACTCATATCCTTTCCTAACTTTTTCCACTGATGCCTGTAATGCATCATCAGATCATTGTAAACATAATCCCAGAGAAAAAACCAAAATTTTGAAGAACAGAAGAACACATTCTTGTGTCAAAAGCTCTAAGTGAGTGGCACCATTACTTCTTAAACTTATACTGACAGGTTCTGATCATCTTAAATCCTCTTTTCCCATTAAAAAGGTCCAGTGACAAAAAACTAAGAAAAGGCTGCTTATATTTTTCTTTAATAAAATTGTAATAGATTAAAAAATATCATATATTCTGGAATTCTAGCCCAACTTGGAGTATAGAGCTAACAAGGAGAAGCACTGATGTGGGCTACCTGTCTGAAAGTCTGCACTTCTATCCACCTGGTGCATTTATGGAGAAAGGGGCTGTAAACCCAGCCCAGCTCAAAGTGCTAATAAAATTTTTCTAAGACAGCTGAGAATAACCATAAAGTAAACACAAAACTAGCAAGATCTAAGAAAAATCTAAAAAGCTCTAAGCTTTGATTCAAACTACAGACACCTTTTCAGTCTGATTTGTTTGATGGTCTGCTACTGGAGTGTGTGCTGTGCAGTCTCACTATTTTCTTCCTCTCATGTGAAGGCATACAGAGAGCTAGTGACAGTGGTCCTGTGCAGGGTTTGCACTCCAGCAGTTCTGTTTATGATGCTCAGACTTGGCATGGCAGCAACCTTTAGTGGGTTTTAAATAAACTACTCCAACATCAGCGCAGACTGAAACAGATGCCTTTAAAATAACCAATAAATTGAATGTTGTCATCTGGAAAGGTATTTAACCTACAGAAAGGGGAAGTATCACAGGAGACATGGTTGTTCCACAGTATTGTTATATTTCATCTGAAAGATTTAAACCAACCAGTTGAAAGTATCTTAAGAGTTCCTGTGAGAAAGAAGATAACTAATTTTCTTTTTGTCATGGTGAAACAACCACTGTCAGGCTGACACAATCAGTTCTGTTGTATCCTAATGTTGGGGTCATTGATGTTGCTTTCTGAATTTTTCTTGGTTACCTCTTCAGAAGTAATGAGATAATCAACTTCTGTTTGATTATTGTCAAATTGGCTCTGGTACTGGCTGTCTGCAGGGAAAAAAACAAAACAGTCTTGTGTGACTGTATAAACAGATAGATACAGGCACAAATGTAATTGCTTTTTTGACTGGAAACACAATGTCCAAACTTTTTATGTGGTCAATACATATAGCTAGTGAAAGCATTTGTGAATTTCCCGATTTCTGCCAGCAACTGAGATTGTGTGAGCAAAATGATAACACTGCCCTGATTGCCTCCTTATCATTAGGATCATTTAAGTCCTTGCATGGCTGACCTAATTGGTTCACTTGCAACCCCATGAAAAGATGTCTGAAACAACTTTATAACAAGATGTTAAGAAGACTGGGCATCAGACAATAACATTTTTATATATTACAATTTATTCTTGAATAATCACTCAACCTCCCATATGGAAAAAAGAGCTTTCCTAAGTAGCTCTCTGCACCTGCCTACTAAATCCATTAAATTCTACAGTATGTGGTGCATGTTTGCTCCCTCTGAAATGCAACAGAACAGTCTGCATATTTGTGGCAGACCAGTATATGCTATTTTATGCTGATCTCTATGATTTTCAAACGACCTTGAAGATCACTGTGTGATTTGTTCAGCCCCAGCACCGAATATTATCTTCTAGCTCATTTTACTCACCAGATTCCCTGTAAAGATGTACTGGGTGGTTGAATTTGGCAGAGCAGCAAAGACTTCTACAGAGCCAGTGATCTGAAGGACACATCTGTCTGCGTTTAAACTGACTGCAGGAGGTAATGTGGCCATCAGCTTCAGCAGCACTGGGCACGCTGCTGCCTGACTCAGAGACATCTGTGGAGGTTCAAGGAGGAGAAAACCTTAGAGTGCAGAGTTAAGCTTTTCTTAAGCGACAGTTTCTGTAGCTGCATCATAATCAGGTGTTGTATACCAATCCTCTTGTAATTAACCAATATTAAATATACTTCATTTTAATTACACCAACTGAAATAACAAATTTAGCATTGCATACACTTTTGAGTTTCAGAAATGATAAAACAAATAGTGAAGTTTTAAACCCACTGATATTAAACATCTATAATGAAGCAATTTAGAGGTTGTTCCTGAAAAATGTATTTCAAGAGGAGGAGATTAGCATGTTAAAGAAATGAGGGAAATGAGTGATTCCAGTAAAAAAAAAAAATCATTTTGACAATATAAAGTATTTGGAAAAGTGACAGCCTGCAAAAGAGTCAATCTTTTGAAAAGTAGAGAAACTCCTAAAGGACAAAACTTCAGTTTGCAATTCCACAGGTTCTGAATTTCATCATCTTATAGTAAGTGTTGCCATATTTTTACAGCAACTCATAGTATTTTAATTTCTTGCATCACATGTATAGACTCATGACTATTATTTCCCATTGTATATAAACTCCAGTAGTCAAAAATCAGGAATCTTTGCAAAGAGAAGTCAGGCTACCAATAGCACAGATACCATTACCTTGAATAGGAATAAAAGGAGACTGATCTCACAGATGGCTACCACTTATTCTTTATAACTATTTCAAAGACTGAGAGCAAATCCAGAACTTAGAGGGGTAGAGAATAACTAAAGTATAGTATGATATAGTTAGGAAGAATTATCATGGGGTAGATGTGTATGTTCGAATCTTGCACTAATCATAAACCAGTTTCCTTGTCTCCTCCAAACTTTTTCAAACAAGAGCACACAGATAATATCCATAAAGAGCATTAGATACTGATTTTTCTTAAAAGGTCTGTTCAAGTAACAGTACTCACCTCAGAGACAAAATATTTGAGTAGGGAGGTATTTAAGCTAAAAGTAGTAGCAAGCTATAAACAAATAAAATAAATTAGATCATCATTATACCAGCCTGAAAATTATGCTTTCCTCGGAAAAAAAATCCCCAACAATAGATCCTGTTTATTTTAGTTTTAGATAATCCATGTTTTGATTTAGTATTTCCTTGCTCAAGAGTGATTCCTAAGCAACCCTCAGTGCCCTGTGGGAGAAAAGAAAGATTTCTCATGGATTTGATTCAGAAGCACGTACCAGTGAACAAGCATTATTCTTTGAAAGAACAGATATGACATCCTGCCTTTGAGACTCTCTCAGATGAAATATACTGAGTATGTCAGAGGCAAGGACTCAAAAATCTCATCTGCTCTTTTGCTGCTAACCACTGTGATGATGTTTGTTAGTGCCATTCATGTCACCAGCATCCATAAAGACCCTCTTAGCATTGTTTCAGTTAGCAAAACTTATTGGAAACTCTGACTACAACTGCCAGTGTGGAAACTAGCATTTCTGAGAGGTCTTGTATGTTCTTTAGCCACAGCTGAAAGCTTAGTTTCCTTGCACGTTCTTGCCTCATCCTGCTGCTCCATTAAGTCTAAGGATTTATTCTAGCTCTCAACATAGCCAAATATCTGTTGTGGGCCTCTGTGCAGCAGACTGTGGCTTCAGTACACTTTTTCTTGTCTCATCCTTTCCTATGTGCAGTCCATGCAGAGAAAAGCTTTTTTTTTTGGTTCTTTCTGCCGCTCCTGGCACACCAAGTCTGTGATGTTCATATCTCTCATTCCTTGCCTAGAGCTGCCAAGAAGTTCAGGCTTAGGTCTGAGGGGGACTTGAACTATTTTAAATTATGACATGCAGAATGATTGTCATGAATCCTTCCTACAAGTGGTAGAAGTGTGACTCGAATCTGTGTGAAATGGCAAAGATAATGTGTTAGTCTCCTTTGCTGACCTGACTATCCATACTGCTGATATTTGTGATTCCATTACATGCAAATTATACTCACCTCTTCAGAGATGGTGATGTTAAAGGCCCCTGCTCTGTAGTAAGCCAGTGAAGCAGACTTTAGAAAATAATTGGAGACTCCCAGGTATATCATGGAATCACCCTGGTTTGGGAGAGCAAATGGAGCTGGCATAAAGGGAGGGTCTGTGTGATTACCTACTGGATAGACTGTGCCCTGCAAAAAAATCATTATCAAATATTTTTAGTTGAAACATTTGTATCTGTGAGAATGCGTTAGCAGTGGTTGAACAGGAAGAATTCTTCCTAATCTGAAGAAAAGCTGGACATTAAAGAAACCATGAATTAAGGAAATAAGTTTGTGCTATGCCCTGAAAATAAGCAAATTCAGGCTCTTTTAAACAATTACAGGAATCAAAGAAAATCTGGGTGCTGTACTTTCAAAGTTTGAATTTGAGCATTCAAGTGAGTATTCTGAACAGCAGTTACAAGACACACATGCAAAAAATAATTCTCTACACCACAGTTTTCTTTCTCTTGTAGCAAAGAAACATTTGTTAATTTAATCTTAAGGGTGACATTTCAAGAAAATCTTCAGGCACACCCAAAAAGCACTGGAAGTTGCTTAGGACAGGGACACACAAAGGAGCCTTTTATATCACCTAACTCTTAGCCCTGGCCCAGCTGCCAGTCCTCTAAGACCTAATTTTGGTGCTGAACAGGTAGGGGACCTTGATTCAGGTATGCTAAGAAAATAACTATTAAAATTGAGAGGTAGATGAGTTCAGGCCATGTAAAGAAAGTAATTCAGATAGCAAGTCATGTAATTACTGAAACTGTGAAGGTTAGTAGCTGGAAGATTCAACAGAAAAAACACTGACAAGGGATGGTATAAAATCCTAAGAAAAAAAGCTGAAAGTTAGAAGATGACAATCAGCCTGTTCCAAGGAGCACCAAGACCAGTAACTTCCTTGACTGACTTAGAATGAGTCATCAGGTGTCCCAATGGGATGTCCACATGTTAAAGCTTACCCTGTAAATTCTAGATAGCTACAGGAGCAGATAACTAATTGCTTAGTTCTTTTAAGCTATGTATATCCTGCTTGCAAAGAGTTTTTTTGCGGGTGGTGAAAGTTGCTTGAACAAAATAATCAAGAGGGAGTTTCAACCACAGCTCTGGCAAATCTTTCTTAACTGAAGTCAGTTCTGAGAGCGATTGGGATGCTCTGAATGACAAGGACTGTTGAAACCGCTGGAAAAGCTCTGGTGTTGCTGAGATATCTCTTGCCAACAAAGGTGAAAACTAGATAAGACAGGAATGTGCTGCTCAAGGACTGTCTGTGAGGAGTCTTCTTTTTGGGTGTGACCTGTACTTATACAAGATGCTGAGTAATCTCAAAACAAATGCTTTGGACTGCAATCACACTGGTAGCCATCATAGATCATGTATCACTGCTAACAGGCGAAGACCAAGCAGCAGTGCAAGAGCTGTATATCTAAAGAACACTTTTATGCTGTTTATAAAGCCCCTCTGAAGGGTTTCAACTCTGAATTAATTTAATTCTAAATAATAGCTTTGGTTAATTACACAAATGCAGTTAATTTATTAAATAAACAATTGCATTCGGTTTCCAAAATAACTCTTGACCAAAATTCCCAAATGTCTTATTGCTTTTCTAAGTAAACACTGGAGAGGTTCAGTAAGACTGGAATGAAATAAAATGAATCAACTCAAAAGAGAATCAGAAAAGTGTTAGAAAGCACACTGATATTAAAGACAAATTACCTTCAAATCCAAGTTAATGTGTGATTTGAAGACTGCTGGAGAGCTAAGTAGGGAATAGTCTACTTGTGCAAAGGTGTCAATCTGGCTTAAGACTAGAAGAATGATAGACAAAACCAAAACAGACATTATTACAAAAACACATCACAAACAGTTATTGCTTAGTTAAAGACAAAGACATTATAGAAATGATGAATCTGAAAAAGAATAATGGTGGGAGAAGGAAGAAGACAATTAAAAAAGAAATTGTTATTCGGGAATTAGTAAGACTATTCCCTTTGGAAAAGTCACTGATATCTCCTGATTTAGGCCTGTTCCCCTCCTGTTCACAAGTGAATACACTTTGCAGAAGTCTCTCCTATGCAGTGCAAAATCTAAGGCAGAGTCTCCTTTTTTGTTACATATTTGCACAAGAGAACTAAACTCTCCTTTATGATAAGTGAAGTACTGGTAAATACTACTAAATGCTTTGGAAGATGACATTAGCACATTTTTCTGCCAATCAGAGTTGAAGAAACTGGGTGTTTTTTCACAACAATAGAGGGCACTTTATTGTCAATATGATTGAAGAATTTTTCTGAAAGGTGCTGAGATGCAGCTTCAGTCTGATTGTTATTTTTGATTGGACTGTATGGTCTGTTCATACTGCATAAAAATAAGATAGGTTTAAAGAATGGTGAATTCACACTGAGATTATGAACCCCTCAATATGACAGCACAGCTTGGGGTGCCCTTGAACCTGAAGTATTTAATTATGTGCTGCATAAGAAAATGTTCTTGATGACTATGAGTTTCAGTAATACTTGCCACTGCTTGGCACATGGCAGTTATAGGTCAATTTAGGCAAAATAAATGTCTACTTACTCTGCTTCTGAATAGCAGAGCAGATAATAGAAATATCCACAATAAAAAGCAAAGAGTGTTTGTTTGGGAACAAACTCTATGACCTGAATTATATTAGTTACAGGAATCAAATTAATTTGAATTGAGAAAAACAACAAATATTCTTAATCTTGGGGTAAAAAAACTAACAACAACAATAAAGGAAAACCTGTGGCATTGATTATAGTAGTGAAAATCTTATATTTATATGCTTTTTGAACACAGATTGTATTCATGTCTCTGCAAGAGCGACACAGGAATTGTTACTGGTGGGAAAAGAAACATGCTCAGTGTGACAGTGTCTTCCTACAGCATCTTGTTACCTCACTGAATACGAGTCTTATGTTCACAGTACCAAAAGCACAAAGGATCAACATCATCTTGGAAATCTAAGGAAATAACACAGGTCAGCTACAACAGATTGAAAGATTACAGGTGACTTGCTATGGGCACAGAAGAAATCTGAATATTTTATATAAAGTGCATGCAAGAGATTTCTAGGGTGGAACATGGAATAGGTTAAGGTACAGGACAATGGCTGTATTTTTCTTCCTTCACTTTTTTTGGTACCATGAACACAGAAATAGTTTGGATTCTAATAATAAAGGATACAACTTGAGCACTATGAAAATTAGTTAACAAAAAGCTGTTATCAACAACTCACCCTTATGCTTTCTAAGCTGTGCATCCATCATTTGGATTTTGTATTTGATATTTAGACATAGCTATATGAAGAGAGAGACAAGTCAGTAATGTAAGGCCTGTGTTTTAACTCCTCCATTCACTATCTGAAGCCATCTTTGCAAACTTACATTTTTATCCAATTTGGTGTGAATGGGCTTCTCAAGATAACCAGATAGAAAGCTGTAGATCCAGCTGGAGGAAAGGAAATGAACATAGTGGCTTTTTTACCATGGGTTGAAATCTTTGAAAAATAAAATCTGGCAGACGGGGACATCAATGTCATTTATATTAACAAGAAGCAATTACAGCAATATGGCAGACTGAAAAGTTACTAATTTGAGTCTCAGACAAATGTTAGGTGGTCTCAGTCTCAGAAGAGCTATATAGAAGGCAATCTGCATAGCTGTGGATGTTCATGTTAACGTGTTGATAATGATGCTCAATTAGCCACATTTTGTCTAAGAGTAAGAAAAAAATTCTAGAAAATCAAAATAAGAACTATAAGCATTGTTTCATAGTCTCTTTTGAAAGCTTTATTCTCAAATTGTAAGTCAGCTTGTCAAAAGGCTTAATTGGTCTACATCACTTTTACATCTACAAACCATCATTTGCAATCTTGTACTCTTTAATATGGTCAAATGTCAATGCTTTCATATGCAGTATGTCCAGTCAGCTCGATTGCTGGCACATGCAGAAAGAAATGTAGATTAACCACACTTCACACACTCAGTAGAAGAGTCTGTTTTTGAAAACAGACATTAAAAATCCACTTTCAGAGCTTTCAATATTTAATCATATTTTGTAACTGGATCCCTAGAAATCAAAATTTGAAAAGTGTCCCTTATGCTACAAACCCTGCCACTTCCCAGAGGGAAATTAGAAAAATTGCTGTACGTACCTAGATCTTCCACTTAACTTGACTTTTACACTGCCAATGCTCAGCTGGCAATTGTGTAGCAACGTGGACAAGTGGCCTGTGCTATCCCGTGACACATTGAAGATAATGGAAATAAACAGTCCTGAGATGGACACAGTAATTTCTCCTTTGCCTTTACTGCTTGGACAAAAAAGTCAAACTCAGTCAATAAAACATCTGCTGTAAGGAAACAATTTAAGAAACTGCCTGTAAATCAAGTTTGAAAGGACTTCTTGCTTCTATTATCTAGAATGAAGAATGGGCTTTCTAGGGATTAAAGGAGATTAGGGACATGCCTGGTATTCAAAACCAGATTATATGCATGTGTTTCCAGGACATGAATTTTCCAGTGTTGTTCAGGATTTGACAAGTTTACAAAAATGTCACAATTTCACAGCAGCACAAGACATTCCAATCCTTCATGATAGATTACCCTAAAGGTCTCTGGGACTGCAACAGCAGAAGCCAGTTAGCTAATAAATATATAACCCAAGTGTTATATATTTATATATATTATATATATCAACTTTGTAATTGTTCCACTTTCCTCCTTCCTGTAACAATTTTCAGTAACTCTTTCAAATGTATACATTTTTTTTTTGTCCTGCCCCAAACCCATTCATTTTCCTTTCTGTAAAAATCCCTACTAAGACCCCCAACAAAAATATCTTTATACCTATATTCCAAAAAATTTAGGTATTAGGCTTCTGGTTAGGAGTTTTAGAAGCTGAAGACCAGCCAAGCAGGATTAAAAGTTGAATGAATGTTAGAATAGCCTTATAAAAACCTCATTTACTGTAACAGAACTGACAGTGAACACATCACTTTTAACTCTTTCACCTTGATTACTTGAGTTTTCTTTTCCCAGGCATTAATTTATAAGTGATGGCACCATACTACAGAGAAAGAGCCGTGTCCAATATGAAGCTCGAACCATGAATCTCTCCTCCTTCCTCTTAATTTTTTTAGTCAAAACAAAATATCTCTGGAAAAAGCTGTAATCTCAAAAGATAAATTTTTACCCTAACCATAGACTGCCCTGGCCCTAAATAATGTCTAGTGTTGCCAGTCACAAAGTTCATCCTACCACCTACCTCCTGTTTCAGTTCATATATGTTCATTAAGTGGCTATGTAGAGGAAGCACCACTCTTCAGATCCTCATTTTCCAGTCCCTAACCAAGCTACCATCCCAGTAGCCATTAGGAAAAACATTTTCCCAGGGAGAGTTGTGAGTACTGGGACAAGTTACTTGGAAAGATTCTTGCGTCATCATCCTTGGCTAAAAAACATCACTAGTGAGCAGATCTGATCTAGTCTGGTGACTCCTGTTTTGAGCAGCAGGCTGGGCAAACCTACTTCCAGAGATCCTTCCAACCTAGATTTACTCATCCTTCAGTGATAGGGACCATTGCAAAAGGATGTCAGCCCTCCTCCCCTTTTGGGCTACATGGGAGGTAGGGAGCAACTCAGCTACTTAGGTCTTTTGTTCCTGCATCCTTATATGTGCTCTTCTTCAGAAGGAATCCTGATTCCCTGAGGCAGGGTCACAGCTCTAGGCCTTCAGGAGCAATGGGCCTGCCAGGAGGTTTTATGACTGGCAGAGTGCTCTGGGACGTAGTGGAGAGAAGGACTACAGTGAGAGCTGGAAATGCACCAGAGCTGAAATGAATAACACTATTGCAATTAAAAAGCTGTGATAAGACCCATCTTCCTGATCCTGGAAGCAGCCCAGGAATGGTGCTTTGTCAATGGTCTCACTTGGAAAGCTCATTTTCAGCTGGCCCTTCTTAATCTGCTATTCTGAAAGCAACATGTAGGACTAGAAGATAAAGGAGATGAAGAGTAGGGCATATTCTAGATCTGTCTAAACTCACAGTCATTCACAAAACATCACATAGGACAAAGCAGCACAGATTAGTCCTTCAAAAAGGCAAGAAAACCCCTTCGCCCCCTAAATTCCACCAAAGCCAGCTTTGACCACCTCCACCACAATCTGCTCTGTCAAATCATGCATGACAGCTCCCTGACTCCCTTACTGTCTGTGAAGTCTTTGGTGTTTTATACATCTGGAGTCTCTCCAGATTATGCCCAGGTCCTTATCCTTCAGCAAGAGCGAGAGGTGACTTCAGTGTTTGGGAACAGCTGATTTGCCCTGCTGAACACAGTCTCCTCTTCCTCATAATACTCATATGACAGAAGAAAGAACAGAGAGGTTGGGGGCACAGTGACAGGAGTTTACAGCCACCAGTCCCATTGAGACTGAATGCAGAACTGCATGTCCATACTCCTCTGAAATCAGGACGTGCTGTGAAACTTTGCAGCCTGGTGATCCATCTTGCTGTGCTATCTGGCTCACAATAGAGCAACACCTACTGCTGTTAGCAGTTGCTCTATTAACCCAAATTGTAGAGATTAGCACCTTGCAAACTTTCTGATATCCCAGAAATTTTAGCCCTCCCACACTCCCAAGAAAAGCTAGACTATTGTATTAAAATTCCATGGCAAAAATGCTGAGATAAGAAAAAGTAGAAAAACCAGTATGCAGTAGTATCATTAAAAACAATCTCATACTACATAGGCATATGAAGATGTCAGTTTTCCATAGCGACCTAAATTTTGGACTTTCTGAAGTTCTGAATGCTTGGCATTGTGACAGTCCTTTTAATAGGAGCTCTTTGGAAGGCAATATACACTGTACTACATGGGTACACATGGATAATTAGCTATAGAGTCAACCTTCCAGCTACACTGTACAAAGAAAGTAACAAATGTTGGCTATTGCAACTCTGTGGTCCTGAGTATTCATGTAATATCATGTCTGGACAAACTGAGCATGCTAACAGATGTCTGACCTGATATTTTCCACAGAGACAACCTGTGGGGTTGAATAATTTAAAAAAGGAAAAAAAACATTAGTTGTCAGGGGATGTTTCCTTCTTAATAAGTTTATTCAAATAGATTGTTCTTAGACTGCTGTTAAGTGATACAGCATATCTGATCTGAAAAATAATACCCAGTATATGTCCCAGAACCACCCCCTCCCACGTGCATCTCTCTGTCCAATACTTACAGCAGCCATGCGTTCATTCTCCAGTCTGCACTGATTGTAGCAGAAGCCCGTGCCACTGACAGACAAATGCCAGTGCCAGGAATAAAAGAAGCAGAAGTTTCTGGGAAATCTACAGCATTAATTCTAAGCCTACAGAATACAGAAAGGGGGATTATTACAGTGCATGCCAAAAGAGTAAGAAGGACTCCTGATCACTGAAAACCCTTCTGCTATAAAAGGCAAAGTCTATGCTTCAGTAAAAGAATGTCTCAGAAATGACTGACCCTTGTATATTTTAGGAAAGAAAGACATTACACCTCACCTCACAGCATCCTTGGAAAAAGAATCCTTGATATCAGGCATGCTGTTGTGGTTTTTTGGGGTTTTTTTCCCCAAAAAACCTCCCCTTGGGAAAAAAAAACCTCCTTAAAGTAAAATCTCCTTGTTGGGGAAAAAATAAATCTATGTTTAATCCCAGATGCCACATCTATAAATAAATCCAGGTTGTCTGAATGCTGCATTTGCTGAAGAGCATCAAAGTTTTTGTTTTCACATTCTGCTTCCTTGACTAAGCAAAGGGCTCTGGAGAGCATTCATTTTTCTAAACAAAATCTTTCTTGAATATTTCCCTTCCAAAACAAATGTTTCTGATAATCAAGGATATTGTCTTTCAAATGGGTGTGTTGAATTGAGCTGAACATTGTAAAGATATCAGCTGCAATCTTATCATGTAGTATACATTCCTCATTGTTTCTTGATATCTGGCAGACATCTCCGAAACAATTGTCTTTAATCTGCTTTCCCTGGGGCAGAAGGCACCAACTACCCTTAGTTAAAATGACCATAATTTTCCAATAACATCTTGAGCAGTAACTCTGCCTTTAGTTGTCTTGTTTGCAGTGAGCTAAAATCAGATTATCCACTGGGATGGTGGCCAATTTCAAGAACTATGGTTGGGGGAATGAACTGAGGTTTTGAAGATCATACAATAATTTAGGTTGGAATGGGACCTCAGGAGATTTTTCTGGTTCAGCCTCTTACTCAGAGCCGGGACAACTCAGGGCCCTGGCCCACCTGAGTCTTGAACAAGTCCAAGGATCCAGATTCCCCAGCCTTTTCAGCCCCTGTTCTGATGCTCTAGCATTTTTTCCTAGCTTCTCTACTTTTCTTGATGTAGCATGTCTTTTTGCCCATCACCCTTTCACTGTGTGCCCCTGGGAGAAACTGGCTCCATATTCTCTATAATCAACATCCAGCAGACAGTGGAAGACATGCAGTAAGACACATGCACCCCCACCCCCACAGTCTCTTCTTCTCCAGCCTTTCTGAACACAACTCTCTCAGACGTACAGGGATTAAGGCACAAGGACAGCATAGCAAAAATGGTATAACAATTGCCAGAAAGCAGGATGTTAGGAAAGGGATGCAGGCCCTATCCAGCAGAAAGTACATGAAGTCTCTCAGAATGGTATTTCTCCCTCTGGGTAACCTGCAAAGAAGTAAAATGCTACTGAGCAGCATATTGGAAGGTGGGATTGAAGGCTGTAGAAAAATCTGCTTTCATACTAGTCTCCATATTTGGAAAACTTGTAGGAAACTCTACAAAACTGTGTCTCTACTGGCTGCTCCTGGTACAAAGATTTTCCTTTTCAGTTAGTAGGTGTCTAGCACTATCCAGTCAAAATGGTGATTTACCATTGTAAATTCATCCAAAAAGATTCAGCAGAAGTCATCTTCCTGCCACATCAGCCCACATACACCACCCCCTGGATATATCTTATCCCTTTGTTGGCTTTTTCTCATCAAACACAAACAAATTATTTTCTCTGCTACAGGTCCTTTATAATAGCAGAGTGTTAATAACACAATTCTGCCCTCCTTCCCACCTATTTCCCCCACTGTATCACAACCATGCTTACACCTGTCTTGCCCCAAACTCTGATACAAAGCAACTGAAAAAAACCAGCCAAGGTTCTCCTTTGGGAGCTTTATAAAGCTCATCTCTGAGTGCAGTAGAACAAGTACTTTTAAAACAAGTCAGTGTTTGGGCAGTGGAAGCAGAGTTAGATGAACCATTAAAATTTTATGCTGAACAAAATAGCGGCTACATAATTATTACTATGTAGTAATAATAAGCTGCTTCATCCTAAAACTTTGACATTTATTTCCTTTACTTACCTGGAAATTACATAGTTGACCTTAACAACTGACAAACTCTCCTGCCCACTCCAGCTTGGGAAGGTCTCTTTCAATACTGCTTGCTTCACGAGCTCCATCCCAATCCTCCTGCCTACAAGGGGACATAGGAAAGCATATGCCTTGCAGATTGGATTCTGGCACCCAAAGGTCCAGATATACTGCCAAATAATTTAATCATCACTTTTAACACAGTTCTTGAAACACTTTGATTCTACGATCCTTACTTAGATCTCCTTCCAACTACGTATATACGCATTTATAACTTCTCTTAGCCTCACATACAAACCATTTAACCCAAGATCAAAAATATCTGTTAGGATCATCTTGTCCCTGAGTTATATTTCATCTTCGAGTTATATTTCATCTTCTAGAACTCCCGTCAGATTTCTGAAACTGTTATACTTCCTTCACTTCACTCACAATGTGGATAGCCTTGGAAAATTTTTGGTCATCACCTTTACCTCAGATTGTCTCATACCTGTTAGATGAAAAAGCCAGTTATAAAGTAGAAAGGTGACTTCTATATGTAGTGTTTACTTATGGAAAAAGTGTGATATATGCATCTGAAGTGCTGGTATGTCAAATGCAGAACTATCTGGATTGTTGCTTGTGTACAGGAAGTTGTTTGATGTTGAGAGACAATCCTTTTGAATGTTTTCTTCCCATTTCTTTCCCAGTACATATATTTTGCCACTGCACCTTAACCATTAAAGCCTGCAACAGATCTCTGACTTATTTTCTTACCTGTTTCCCTTGCTTTAAGGGATCCATACTTTCTTGAATGTTTTGATGCTACTCGTGCAATGACAATACACACAGACCCTATTATGACCAAACAGAGCATCTTTAAATTCCAGATTCCTTGTATCTTCCTTTTTTCACTTATCTTGGATTAAGACAAAACTGAAATTTTAATACTGAATGATATCCTGCTTTCAGAGGTTTTTACCATGAATTTCTTTAGCTTTTGGCCTCACGATTGCTGATAGAAAATATCTGGATTTTTTTCTCCACTAGGCTCTATAGTATTAAAAAAGCAAGGAACTGAAATTTGTGATAACACTGGAATACCTTTTCATAAAATGCATCTTTTATGAAGGAGAATAAGTTATGATTCCCTGGGAATTCCTGTCTCGAAAGCAAAATATGGGCTCTCACTGAAATGACTTAAAGCTCTCACAACTGTCAGTGAAGTCAGCCAGTGATCCCAGGTGAAATTCCTCTCAAGGTTCTTGCAGCAGGCAAGAAGCACGCAGGCAGGATCTATTGCCTCAGCCTTCAAATATCACATTAAGGGAGAGGACGTGTCAGGCACCAAGCTCTTCAAATATGAGAAATACCTTTGGGAGGAGCTCTGCTAATGTCTGTTCTTACTACTAATGCAGGGCTGTGCCAACTTAGTCTGTTCATTCGGTGCTCGGAAGACCATGCTAATAGTCACAAAAACTGCTGGGCTCACACTGAGAAGCACCAGGCTGAATTCTCATTTCTAAAGGCATGAGAGATCCCTAGGAAGCAAGGGAGGTCAATACTGGTTTGGGTGACTTATGTTTGCCCCGCACTTTTCAGCTCCTCAAAAGCCTTTAAAACAATATTTATACAATAAAATAAGTGGACCTGATCCTCGCTTTCATCTAGAAAACACGAACCCCGAGCTTCTATTTTTCATCTCACAAGTCCATTGTTTACCTGTCAGCATGTTCAGTACATAAATGACGATTAATCCTTAGCATGACCCAGCCTTTGTTGAATTTGTGCCTTGTTAACCTTTATTATTAATATTAATTCTGTAAACAATTGAAATTGTACCACATGCCCTCCACATCCATGGAGTAAGTCTTAGGTAGGAGACAGTGAAAGTTAGCATGAATAGAAAGAGAAAGGAAAATATATTGTGGAAACTGCCAATATTCCGTTTAAGGGGCAGAATTATGGCAGTCACTAGATTTTTTTTGAAGAATGGCACATGCAGGTGCTATGCCATGTCAAATGGAGGAATGAGAGGAAAGGTGGCTATGTGGCTGTTCCAAGATTGTAAGCTTTTTGTCCCAGTTGTGTCTTACTATCTTCAATTAAATATCGCACTTTAAGTCAGGGGTTTGACACTTTTTTTAAAAAAAAGCAATTATATGACTTTCTAATTATGGTTCTTAAAAAGTACATCAATATGAAGGATGTAGTAGAAAGATGGTTGGACTGTAGGAGAATGCATTCACCAATAAAAGATAAATTCACACCTGGGATACACAAAAAAAAAAAGGAAATAAGTGAGAGAAGAGACAAAGGGTATTCCTGGTGTGAGGTGACAAAAGGAATTTACTCTACTTCAATATTTAAGGAGCTTGTTCCTTAAATAAAATTAAACCTTTATTAAGCAATTATATTCTGCACATAGAGTATTTATGATAAATTAACTTCTGGCAATGTTAGACATACCATAGTCCAGCCCCTTCTGAGTAATCCTCACTTTAAGACCAGGATTAGCTTCAAGCTGCAAGGACAGCCAACAGAGCAGGACAAAATACGATGTCTTTAGCATCTTCTCACCTTTGTCACAGGGATCTGTTAACAACATTTATGATACAAACATTTTCATAAATGATGCATACCACGAATTGCAAAATTCTGTATCCATGACTTCCCTCAATGAAACTGGGACAAGGGGGGATAGGCAAGAGAGGTTTAGCCTATGATTTTATTGCATGAAGCAGTCAGTGTAGGAGCAGGCACATATTTCTGAGTCCTTGGGTATCACTTTGGCAGGTATTAGCTATTGGTGAGACTGAATAGTTCTGCTCCACTACTCTATCCTTTCTCCACACCCATGTCTTGGCTGTTTAATATTACCATCTGTCCTTCCTCCTGCAGAATGAACATCACACAGGATGAGTGAGGTGTCCTAGCACAAGCCTGTGGCAGTGCAAAGCAAGACTGTGAGCCACTGCATGGCGAGACATAACCACACAACACAGATTCACAAAAGCTGAGACAAATTGTATCTTTCTGTGACACATTCCAGTACAAAAGTAAGGCTTCTTTGTTCAAAAGTCTTGCATTCATCCTGATATTCACTACCAATGACAGCCACTGCTCAACTTCCTAGAAATAACAATACTGTTTCTCAAGACAGCTTCAAGTCTTCTCAGTGCTGCATCACAAAACTCTTTATTAGGGACCTACAGTAACTCTACTCTGGCCTTACCACGGAGGGGAGTGACACATCCTTTTCTGGATGTGCACATCTGATTGGGATCATGGTACCTGCCTATGTACAAAACCATACTAATTCATAAGTAGGAAAAGGTCTTGATAGTTTCCTGGGTATTGCAGCCTATAGAGTCATTCCTGGATTTCTAATAAGTATCATATTATCTTGGACAATCTATTCCATAATCTGGCAGAACACATGTAAGTGAAATTAAAACAAGAAAAAACCCTCTCCTTCATCAAAAAACCCACACCCCACCACCCTTTGGTAGTCTTACCTCTACCTTCTTCTTCTACTTATATCTTACTTCTTGGTGTTTTAATTAATATTATCAGGTCAGACTCTAAATGGTTGAAAATCTATGTTCTGCTCAGTAACTCATAAAAAACTGCTCTTTGGTGGTTTCTGCACTGTAAGATTGACAAAATGTATTTTCAATATTGCCCTGACATCGGTTCTCTGAGGAATCCTTACAAAGTTATCCCAAGATACCATGCAAGAAAAAGTGTTTTCAGGGAAACAACATTCTGAATACATAATCCACACTGGGACAAATTTTGAAAATGCCCCCTTTAATTGGTCATTCCATCTCTACTTCTTATGCCTTTTTAGTTTTGTCTATTTTAAGCAACTGAAAATAAATACTTTAAGGCAGCAATGTAATATTATGCACAACAGCCTGCTGAAGTCACAAAACTTAAACTCTTTCCAAAAAGTGTCCTAGCTTTTCCTGCAAACATGCCACCTTCAATCCTGATTAACAAGAATCAATTAAAAATCAATGTAAAATCAGAAAGACAGATTTTTCTATCATTAAAGTACATAGATATTTCCTAGATATTTATCCAGCAGGATTGCTAGAAGCATTGATGCAGATGAGGTACCTCATTCCCATTGCATTTCATTCACACTGAGGAACAGAAAACAGCAATCTTGGTCACTACTGTGCTTTGCACTTGTACTTTGATATGTTTTTGTTTGGATCTTAAATGGATGTTGAGTGAGAAGCTGAAAGAACAAACAACGGAACTGCCCTGGGAATAAAAGGCAGTGTCATTTCATATTGCTTACTCACACCAACAAGCTTTATTTTTGCACTCCAAGGCTGATATTCTTGGCTTCATCCAAGCCCCAGCCTCTCTGAGATGCCAGGATCGATTGTACAAGGTCAGTCAGATGACCGAGGCAGACAGACCTGAGGAGAAGGAACTTGTCAGCTGCCTGATAGACTAAATGAGAGCTGCCAATTGCATTGCCAAGGACAATAGATGTCAGACAAATTGCCCTGATATTTATCTTCAGTAATTGAGCAGGCATAGACCAATTTCTGCATGTAAATAATTATCTTAATTCTTTTGTCTTCTCAGAGATAGTGTATTCAAGTACTTGAAGTAGAGAAAAAGGATGAAGTCCTTTGTTTCAGATTGTGTCACCTGTCTCACCCTAATGAAGTACTCTGCCTACCAGTCTGTAGATACATCTGGTTTCTCCTTTGTGAACAATCTATAAAAACTTTAAATAAAACTTGCAATAAAGATTACAGCTGAAATCCACCTAGGAACTTAAGCAAGCTCCTGAAGTAAAAAAAAAAACAACAAAATGAAACAAAACAGAAAACCAAAAATCAAACAACAAAAAAAAATCCCACTATAGTTGTCTTGTAGAGGTTTAGCACAGCCATAAAAACACACTAGCTTAAACTGACCATCCTCTGACATACAATAGAGAATCTTTAAAAAAGAATTTTGTCCTTATCTTGCCTTGGTCCTGCACAAAACTCTCCAATATGCAGCCCACAGAAGAATTTCTTTCCCTTTGAAAAATTTAGTTACCCCAGTAGTTAACAAACCCAAGACAAACAGTTCTCAAACACAATAGCAAATATAGTGTCTACCCAACCTGAGGTCCAGAAAGAGCACTTTAGTTTCCAAAATATCTCTTCTGTTATCACAGAACTGGGACTGGATTTTTCAGTTTCTCTCTTGCTCCATTGTCTCTAGTTACTCTGCAGCATGTTCAAGAACAGGTAAGGTTTCTGCAGCTCACTTAACAATGTCAAAGCAAAAAAGACTCACTAGCGTCAAGATTTTAACCCTTCCCACACACTGATATTCCATATGGAAAATCACCTCTGGAGGGAAAAGGAATACAAAGTTAATATGGTTGATAGGAGAGATATTGGAAGGAATGCTTAAAGAAAACAGCAATTGACACAGACAGGAGTTTGCTAAATGGCATAAAAGCAGATGATCTCTCTCCACAACTACTGGAAATACCCACTGAATGAGAAAAACTCCAGTAAGTTCCTGTTCGTGGTTTCCTCCATTCAGTGTGGAAAGCAGTGCTATCCACTTCCCAGCTCATGAGACAGCCCATGATGTTGCTCAATGAAATCTTCCAACAGAATCCACAGGAGGCAATGGCCACCCCTGCCCCCACAGGTTGTATCTGTGAGTATGTCTGGGACACCCCCTGATTTTTCAGAGGCTTTGCAAAAGCTTTGTGGCACCACAGCTTTTCCTGAGTGTGGCTTGACTACTGATGCCCTTCATAAAGGCTTTCAAAACCTTGGAGCAGGATTGCCAGAGAACTATTAATCTGTGTCAGGCTGCAAAATAAATAGCATAGCTGCAATGCCTACACAGATTCCATTAACAATGGATAACAATGTTGGGAGGCAGTTGTCTGATGAGCTGATGGAAAAAACCATCGTCACTGTTTGGATCCATTGAGTTAATTTTGCTGACCTCTGTAACTGCCTTATCCTTGCACTTGAGCCAGGACCACAAGGTTCATTTTTACCAAAGACCATTTAGTGAAACAAAAATCAGTGTCCTTGTTCTAGTGCTGCCCTGCACGCTGCCCTCACAGCTAAGAACTGTAAGGGTGCACTTAAGCTGGTTCCCAAGAGACAGGAGAAGAGTAAGATATATTGAGACCTTGAGCAGACTGCAGCAGGCCTTATTTGTCTGGAATCTGAATTGCCCAGATTCAGACCTGAGTCCATCATTTGCATAGTTCTGTTCTAAGCTTCCTTCCCTCCCAGTCGTTTGGCTCACTCTTAGTCGTGTCCAATCATGCTGTTACTTTCATGGAGCTGACAGTAGCATGAGGAACTGTCTCAGCCTCAGCAGCTACCACCCTGGTTTCACACAAATTGCAGTCCTGTAAGATTCCCAGAAGGTGGATGCAGTAACTTCCCTAGGAAAAACCTGAGCCTCTTTTTACTACCCAGAGAAACGTGACTTTTGTCTGCTAATGCAAAGATATCAAACTCTGATCTCGGAGTGCACACAACTCCCAGCAGTTTGATACTGTTTAAAAATATGTAAATCCAAGAAAATGCAGTTGTAGCTAAAAAGATCTGAAGCAATCTGGCAAACTCCAGAAAACCCACTGAAAGGTCCTTTGCTCCCTGTGATCAAGATTTTAATCAGAAACAGTGCAGTTAAGAGCTACATGAGCAAACTCCAGACACTGCTTAAGAGTCATCTGTATTCAACCAATCTGAGACAGTGTAAAGCAGAGCTCCACTAAATGTATTGGCTATAGAGCATCAGCACAACAGGCTTTAAAATACCTTTTAGGAGCAAAGCTGACCACTAGCAAGCTGTAAGAAGTTAGGAGGTTCTCTCCACTAGCTTTGATTTGAACCTCCTCCTCCATTGGCACACTTAAAATGCCACTTCAGACTTTCACAGATCTCCTCACGATACTCTAGCCTTCATACCCTTCTTCTCATTCCACCCTCTTTCACAGGTTTCAGTGTGACCCTTGTCATTCAAAATGTGTGTATCATAAGGTTTAACATATACACACATACATATTTACTTATATGTATTATAAAATACATTCTTTGTAGTGGCAAATACATAAAGAAAAATAATGGAAAAGGTCCACTGTCTCAAAACTTTATTACCACACTCAACTTTCAGGAAGAAAAAATATTTCCATGAGGTATGTAACTGAACCAAAGAGACCTTTACTCTTTATAGTTCTCCTCTGCCACAGGACTAGGTCAACAGTACTACAGCTTTAAGTTTCAAGTTTCTCAAGAGAACCCACTAGGACTATCAGTAGGATTTTACTGCTTTGGTGGAACAGGTTCTATTGCTTGTGTTTCACACTGATCATGTGGGGAAGAAAAATCCTCAATAAAATCCTTTGAGTTGAGAAACCATATTGTCTTTAACAACCATTCTAAACTACTGACAAGGAGCTTTCTTTTGTCACCATACTGTGTATTATCTTAAGGAATTAAAAATAATTCACAATTTTTGATAAGAGTGAACTATACTGAAAGTCAAAATTCTTCTCTACACAACCATTTGTTCAAGGTTTTAAGCACACAGGTTTCCTGTGCTGCTTTGCATGTGTCCTTCCCAGCCTCAGGTCAATGTCATATGTGGCCATTGAAAATCTTTTGTCTGCAGATTGAGACAAAATTAAAATGGTGGAGAAAAACTGTAACTCATCAAATAATAGCCCTTTATTCTAGAACGATGTGTGAGGGAAAAAAATAATGGTAGTGTTGAGTCATTTGAAATTTTCCAGACTTGAAAGCTGAGGAAAATGTTTTAGCCTTTCATCCTAATTGTCTCCTAGGTTTTCCTGTTTAATAGTGCTGTGTGGAAAACGTGTCTAAACCTTACATTATGGCATGACTCATAAAATTCAAAGGAAAAATTCACAGAATGGCAGCAGAAATGCTCACTTGTAACTCATGTAGCTGGTTACCTATCAGTGAGTATAGCCAGCCCTGAGAAACGGAACCATTTTGTGCCACACAATCACTTCAGCTTGTGTAAGTTACTGAAATGGTGGTTCTGCTGGCAGCACCACAACTGTAGCCAGGGACATTTCCCAAAGAAGGGAAGCCTCCTCCACCCTTTCAAAAGAGCATAGACTAAAATGCCCTGGAGCCAGTGAGATAGCAGCATGTGGTTGGGACAGGGATAATTCTAAAGAATGAAACATAGCAGGACATTCATGGCCAATGGAAAATGGTTGAGGCAGCAGCATGACTCACTTTGGATTCAACCTTCTTCAGAGAGAGCAAAGCAGAGTTTCTGACAGGCACAGTCCTTTCTACCATTCTTGCCAATTCCGTTCTCATCCCCCTCTGCTCCATCAATCCGCTCTTCTGGATTTATCCAGGATGTGACCCCATTTGATGACGACAGCCTAAGCACTCCTCCAAAAAGAGGGGTGGCAAAGGGTGCAGGTTCTCAGGAAATCACTTGTTTTAATGTTTGTCATTGAGGGCCTGATAAGTTACACTGAGCTGACTGTAATGAGTATCAGTTTTTCTATTGCTCAATGAGTGGTGTTCCACCTCAGTAGACTCCTTGCTTTTCCTTTCATCACCTTTCCACTGAGGAATTTATTGACATGTTGAAAAAAGATGATGGTTGCCCTTCAGTTTGAGACATATCTGACAGTGAACTCTAAAATGAAAATTTAGCAACCACATTTTCCTGGGTTGGATGACCATGTTCAGATGGCATAAAGGAAATTTCTTCTGAAGCCCAAAAGAGAAGTTTTGGGTTCAGTGTCCTTTTTCCGATTGGCTCTCTAAGTGCTGAAAATACACAAGTAGGGTTGTTTCTATAGGGTTAAGCAATGTGAATAAGGCCCTAATAAGCAGCTGTATTCTGTGATAGCTGTGCAAGCTAGGTCTTGGGATTTCTCTTATTATTTCAGTATTATACTTCTAGAAAGTATCCCAGTTTTCCTGCACCTCACATTTCTTGTATTATTCTATGTATGGAGAAATGTAAGTAAATTTTATCATTAGAAAAAACCCCAAGATGATCTGAGAATATGTGTTTTTCCAAGTTACCTCTGAATTCACTGCTTTTTGAATTCAGCGTAATTCATTAAATGAAGTGAAAACTTAAATAAATTGTGCCTTTTACATTATTCCCCCAATCGACATTATACTTAGCAGTACTAAGTACTAGTACTACTACTAGTACTCTTAGTAGTAGAGTGTTTATTTCTAGATAAACCTGAGAGTACTTTTCATAGAGATCCAAGACATAGGAAGGGGATTTTCTCCCAGGTTTGACAGGTGACCTAGAGCCAGTAAACTTCAGTTTGTACCACTTAATACTTCCGCTGAGGTTACTTGAACCAAAGGTGTTGTAACACCACTTCTGAGATGACAACTCAGTAGTCTGGTCTAGAAAAGTCAGGTTCCTTTACAAAACCAGTCTCAGGGGCAGCATCCTCCTTCAGCCCTTCCCCTTGTGCATTTCCATGAGCCTTGCCACTCCCGTCGGTGGCAGGGTAGGGGCTGAGGCGGACGGAGCGTATCCCATTGGCATCGCCAGGGTCGCACCCGCAGCAATGGCAGCTCCGCCCACACCGCCTGAGGGGACGCGCGCGCAGCAGAACGCCCAATCATCGATCGCGGCCGGGCGGGGCCGCCGCCGCCGCCGCGCAGGTCAGAGCGCGGCACGCCGAGGCAGCGATCGGGGGCGGGGCCGGGGCCGGGCTGAGGCGGTGCCGCGACAACCAAAACAACGGCGCGGCCCGGCCCGGCAGCCCTTGCGCCCGCGCCTTGCCGCCACCTTCACCACTGCCGCCGCCGCCGCCTGGCGGGGCCCGCTCGGGGTGCGAGGGGGGAGCGGAGACACCCCTCCATCCCCCGGTGGCGCCGCCGCCGCGATGAAGCTCCGCGTGCGGCTGCAGAAGCGAACGGCGGCCCTGGAGCTGCCGGGGGCGGAGCCAACGCTGGGGGAGCTGCGCGCGCAGCTGCGCGCGGCCCTGCTGCCCGCTTGGGGGTACAGGTACCGTGCGGACCAAACCATTGGGGGGCCCGAGGGGGGCGACGGGGCCGTACCACGCAGGGGGGGAGGGGAGAAGGGGGGTTTGCCCCCCGCGACGCCCTGGGCGCGGTGGTGCCCCCTGCCGGTCGGGCGCGGCCGTGCCGGGGAGCGCGTCCCGGGGGATTAAAGTGTTCCCTGTCTGAGGGCTTTTCCCCTCGCACGGGGTGGGCTGCCCCGGCTCCTGCAGCGCCCGGGACGGGTGCTGCTTCTCGGCTGGTCGCTGCGGAACGGGAGAGCAAAACTTCGGGCGTGCTCGGCTGCGAAACGCGAATCCGCAACTCAGTCAGAGCTGAGTGGGGTTTGTGCGTGGCCCTTACGTTACACAGTGCAGGGTGCAGGGTGTCAGTTTTACAGTTCCCTCAGGCTTCCTGGAGAGTCCCCGGGTTTAAATTTCCTAAACGTTTTATCTGTGAAGAGCTCACGGCATACTCTGTAGGAGAGTGAAGTCTGCAGAACCAATTTAAGAATCGCCTACAAAAGGGGTTTTTTGTGGCGGTGGCTGAAGGGTTTGTGCCGCAAACCTCTAATTAGGTCCGATGTACTGGTGTTTCACTGGTGATTCACGTGTGACGTGGGCAGGAGAAATCTGAAGTTGGTGCTTGTCTTGCTACAGTGGGTGTATTTTAGGGTAACTGCTTCCCTGCTAACCAGTTTCATTTCTGTTTATTTTTTTTCATACGTGCTTACCCTGAAGCATCTTATCTTACCCTCATTTGCGATTACCATCCTGTAGGACAGCTGCTGATCTTTGAAAGTAATGTTTTGCTTCATGAGAAAGCAAGATGGTTGAGTCTACAGCGCTATTTATTTTTAAATAATCTCAGCCACTAGTTTGTTTAAAGCTTGTTTCCTTAGGTCTGATATCTTCGAATTTGAAGGGCATTTGTTCGCTTTTGCTTGTAACTTTTTAATGAGAAATTTCTGTAAATGAAGTTTTATCTACCAAGCAGCTACAGTTGCTTAAAATGTACCTGGAGAGAAACATGGGGGGAAATAATGTAATACATTTTTTTTGCCCTCACTCTTTCTCTAATGTATAGCTCATTATTAATGGATTAAACCCCATGGCATAGTACTGTTGTAATACAGAGTATGCATTTCTAACTATAGGGTCATGGAATCATTAAGGTTGGAAAAGACCTCCAGGATCATCAAGTCCAGCCTTTGTCTGATCACCACCATGTCAGCTGAACCACAGCACTAAGTGCCATGTCCAGTCATATATACCTCTGTATGCAGTTAGCCAGTTGCAGCCAACCATGTTTCCTTACTTTTTTTACTTTTATTTTTCAGTTCTGATACCAAGTTTTCAATAACATTGAACAGAAAAGACGCTCTCACAGAGGATCAGAACACCTTAGCTTCGTACGGGATTGTTTCTGGTGATTTGATATGCTTACTACTAGAAGAAGCAGATGGGCAACCCAGCCTACCTCCTCCTCCTCCTTCTGCTCCTCCTCCTCCCCCACTTCAGAATGGTCGTGAGCCGTCCCCCTTGATCCCCAACAACAGTGAAGCAAACAGTCCAAAAGAAGAAGGGCAGAATGAACAATCTGACAACCAGAAAGCTCAGGGGGAAGTTCAAAAGAGTGATGAGAGGGTAAGTAGATGAGAATTGTCCTGTACAGCACAAGGCAAAAAGGAAGGTATGTTGTTGTGTCAATTGCTGTACTCTATAGGAGAGAGTCTCTTCAGAATATTTGGCTCCTAATACCTGTCCAGTGTTTATCCAGTTATTTGAATGGAAATTTGTCTCTCTACATTCTATATTACCTGTGGCACAGAAGCTAATTCAGAGAGCCTAAAGTGTTTTAGATCTGACGTTTTTACAGGAGTGACTGTTTTTGCTGGAACATGCACTTTTCCTAAGGAAATTAGGATTATGTTTCTTACCTGCCTCAGCGCTGTCTTCTTGAGGAAACTGATTCTAGGTACTGAGCAGTTGCAACAGGCACTGCCTGTTGAAATTGGACTCTTTTTTTTTTTCCTTTCATGACCTTTCTCTTTCTACTTTTTTATTTTTGTAATGTGTCTGTAGTTTTGTCAGGTAACTTAATAACATGGTATGATTTTTGTAGAAGAAAGGAAGTTACAATAAAGCCACAGTCCTCCTTAAGTGACAGCAGATGCACTCCATGGATTTTTTTTTCCCTGCTATTTAGGCCTGTTGTGTTTGTTGGCAGTCCTAGTTACCGTTTTGGTTACTTGCCATGCATGTTGGCTAAGTTCAGATTAGTGGTGATACTACAGTGATTAAATTATTCCTGTGTATGTTGCAAAAATTCTAATTCTGAAGGTTTAATATAGTATTACCATGTTGTCTTCAATTTGTGTATGCAATAAAATGACATATCCTTTAATGAAGCACTTGTATTATAAAGATTAAAAAATACAGAGGCTATGTATATAATCCCAGTCTCCATCTGGAATGCTGGAAAGTGGAGGTGTAATGAATCTTGTATATACAACTTGTATGGGAAATCATGGGAAATGGAATAAGCAAAATGTTGATGTAAAATGTTGATGTATACAGAGGTGTAATTTTCTGAACAAAGTTATTTTTCACTTTCTCCTGAAGGCAGGATCCAGCCTAGAATTTCCTTCTGGATTAGTCCCAGAAGATGGTGACCTGGAAGAAGGTACAGGCTCCTATCCCTCAGAACCCATGCTGTGCAGTGAAGCTGCTGATGGTGAAATCCCCCATTCCTTGGAGATGCTCTACCTTTCTGCTGAGTGTACTAGTGCCACTGATGCCTTGATTGTTCTGGTTCATCTGCTCATGATGGAGACAGGCTATGTACCTCAGGTAGGTAGGTGCACAAGCAAATAGAAATTTCTTGGTCAGTGTGAGAAAGCTATGGAATATCATGGGAGTGTGCAATGCAGGATCCATCTGAGGATCTGCTTCTGCCTTGTATATGTGAGTTGGCAGCAGGGGCTGCTGAAGTACCAGCTTCTCTAATTTCCCTGAGCAGTAATTCTTTGGGCTAAAGACTAGAGCAGCTTTTAGGTGCAAGAGAAAAGGCCTGTCCCTGTGTTTCTTTTGGTCCTCAGTCTCCCTGGGACCCAGCTGATAACCTTCTGTTTCTGCTTTATGCTCTTGAGCCATGTGTAGATGTGCTTAAATTGTAGCACTTCATCAAAGTACTGCCTTAAGTGTCAGTGTCATCTCAATGGTAGCCTGCTCAAGTGGTGCTTAGCAAGGCCTAGGTCTGCCAAAATATTGTCTCCAATTCAATAGGAACTTCAGCTAAGTGTTGTTAGGCTTTGGTTCCACCAATCTGTAGAGGTATCGTACTTGAGCACCTATGGCAATACCTCTGTACAATGTGTGAATTCACTTTTTCCCTTCCATTTGCATTTTATATTTACTCATAAGTAGCTGAACATGCAGAAGAAGACTTGATGTGAGGAAAGGTGTTTAAATTCCCATATTTTTTTCTTGCAGTGAGGCTAACTAAGCACATGTGTGTGTCTGGTTGACCAATACCAATTTAATAAATCTGCTAAATTCATCACATCCCCATAACTTGAAATACTACCTGAAGAATACATTTGCCACTGGGAAAAAAGTTTGCTTATGTCAGTGAGCAGGCTTGGAAGTAGGCAAGATAATTGCTTTACAGATTTAAGAGGAAAGAATCTACTTATACTTGTGGTTATGTCATATCCACCCCCTGGGATTCCATCTGAGCCTTTTCATACTGAAGTTGAAAGAAAAACTGTTAGTCGACTCAAATTTTTGAATTAACTTCAAACTATGATTCTTACAACCCTGTCAGATATTGTAAGTTCACAGAAAAGGTGCAACAACATGTTTTTTGTGCAGCAAATTAATGCATGTGCAGGAATGCTGGAATGAGTGACAGAATGAAGCATGTGTCTCAAAGAAATAGGTGTGAGTGATCACTGAAAAACCTTTCCTGTCAGGACAAAAAATTACTAAACTTCACCTTATATTTGCTCTTTTTGGGAAAATAGTGTATAATCACACATACTCTTAATCACTGTGTCATAATATGCATTAGGACTGACCTAAGAGTTGAATTGCAAACAGCATTGGTACACTGCTAAAGTGTGACAGTGTGTTACCTCTTTGCATTTTTAGGGGACAGAAGCCAAGGCAGTCTCTATGCCAGAGAAGTGGAGGGGGAATGGCGTTTATAAGCTACAGTACACACATCCCCTTTGTGAGGAAGGTTCTGCTGGTTTGACTTGTGTGCCTCTGGGAGATCTTGTTGCTATTAATGGTAAGTCAGTCAAATTTTTATCCTGGATGCACATTGCTAAGTATCACCATTGTTTAGCAAGAGAAAACTTATATGCACTTTCGTGAGGTAAGTTTTGAGCTGCACCTTTATTACTTGGGTTGCTGAGGTGCAGGAGATGCCACTTCCTGATGCTGAATACTCGTGGCATTTCTGGTCTCTGTGTT